CACGGTCGCCAATCTGGCTCAAGGAAAATAACTCTCTCTCTGCAAGGAAAGGAGATCGTCTGAGGAAATCTGAGTGTAAGGAAGTGATTTTGGCCTTCTGGGAGCCGGAGGAGTAAACTTGAAGCTTCAGATAGCTTTGTAGTGCATGAATGTGAATAAGAGTTACAGGCGCAGAAATGAGGTTCAAGCTGGTTTACCAAATATTTACTGTAGTTGACCTCATGCTCTCTAGAACTGAAGTGACCTGTCACTTCTGGAAGACAAATCCAAGAATGAGGACCGCAGCTTTGGCAGTGGGGCCGCTGTGATCAAAACCATGCTGGCTTTGCCTCTGGATGTACAACTCATATGACGGCTTTTATGTTTTTTTCCTCCAGTTGTAGAGTTTGGTAAAGGTTATGGTCTAATATGGGGCTTGGCGGTATTAAGATTATGTGGTTTCAAGTTATATCACAGTATTTTTTTATACATTCATTGCCCCGACCAAATGAACAGCTGTTCACTGCTCGCAATTGGCCAACGTGCAGTGAACAGCTGTTGATGTGGCGTGTCTTCCCTTTGGTCCCTTCCTGTTTCTAAATTACCACTGTTGCCACTAGAGGAAACACCAGCGGCGCCACAAACTTTGCAATAAATCGTTTTCTGATCTAGGTTGAATTTTTAAAAAACCAAAAACCTCCAAACAGCAGACACAGTTACATGTACAATTATTAGTGTTACAAATTGGTTATGTGTCACATAACTGTTGTGTCGCGGTGTTTCACCCTGTTAAAGACCACGGCTCATCACGCTGGTCCTTTTCTTTCCCATTACACTGACTTACACTGTGCATAAAAGTGACAGTTCCCTGAACCATCAAACACCTCTGCAGAGACGCCGTCTCCAGAGCCGATTGAGAGAATAGCAACTCCCTTCACTGCTCCGAAAGAGCTCCTTTACCTCCATGCCTTCAAACAGCAAATGCCGCCAACAGGCCTCTAACAGAGTGTCCATAAGTGGCAGCTTTAAGCTTTACGGGCCGATCATTTATCTTAATGTGTTGTCTGGCAGCTTCTACAAATCACTTAGAGTGGGATGCTGCACTCTCCTTCACACAGATTCCAGCTAGACAACAACAGTCTTTTGGATGTGGAGAAGCTTGGTGGAACCCCATCAGCCTCAAAGTTGACGAGCTGTGTCAGAATCATTTGAAGCCAGAGAAAACGTGACAGACACACACAACTAAACAAAGGATGCCTCTCCAAACAAGGGAGCCAAGTAGCAGGGACATCGTGATAGGACATGGAGGGGGGGAATCCGTGGTGACCGTGACAACGGCTTTCCTGCTGCCGCCCTGATGTTCACCTGACCTTGATCTAGCGATCTAAGTATTCTACTGGATCTAAATGGTGCTATGAATATCGGGGTTCCAAGGCTACCCAAATGTAGTATTACACAAGGAAAGTAACCCGAAGGTACAAATGTGGTTCAACTAATAACCTACCGGGGCATCTACAGACCTGACCCCTCAGACCCCTTGGCTCACAACCTGTCGCCGGGTAGAAACACACAGGACTCTCGAGAGACCTCTTACCACACGGACTTGTTGAGGGTTAAGAGCTCTGCTGCCTGAAGTCGTCCGGCCACACATGACATTTATCAAGAGAGAAGGATGCAGCCAAACCCTTTCTGCTCACATCATGAGAGAGACTTAAAGCTTTGAAGGTCCCGTATCAGCACAGAGGAATGTGAGAGCAAGGAGGGTCCCGAGTGAATGAACACAGCGAAATTTTCCCAACACAGCACTCAAGTCCTTCCATTCCTCTGCTGGTGCTATCAAAGGTATATGTAGAAGACATGACAACACCCAGCAGCTCATGGGGAGCATAGAAACTGTCCCAGTAGCTCAACGCTGCTCTTTAACAGTTCTTCCTGCGTGGGGCCAAGAAGCTGCTGAGCTCCTGTGCTTTGGGAGTGATTTAATGACATCCTATGGCTAACATTGTACTTTACCCCATATAGTAATACCATTTCACCTAGCTATGTCAAAAAGAGACAGGTTTATGCTGAGAATTCATTATGCAGAGTAGTATTCTTTGATTTCCATTTCAAAAGATGTGTTAAATAAGTATATGGTATTATGCTTTGTTCTCCTTTTTCTTTAGAGCACAGATTCGATGTCAAAAATTGACATATTCCTATTTCTGAGGTAGGCTTTTATTTTCCCAAAACGTTTAATAATAATAATAATAATATTAATACATTTAATTTGTAATGCACTGTATATTTAAGAAAATCCCAAAGTGCTACATGCTAACAATAAAAACACACGGAGAGTTTGAAAACAAAAACAAAACGAGTTCACTAAAAAGCTTAACTGGTATACAGACTACATTACGGATTAATCCGATAGTTGTTGTATTGATTCATTGAGGATTACAAACTCATGACAAAAATGTCCATCACAGCTTCTTCGCCCCTAACGGTAGGGGAAACACCCAGTGAGAGTGGAGTCGGACTGTGGCTGTCTTTTTTTAACTCCTCATGAATTCTCCTAACTCTAACCTCTTTCCTTGACCCCTGACGTTTTTCGCATTGGTCAGCAATAAATGCTTGGGAGGAGGTTATTTTATTCAAATCCAGCCTGCGTATCTGGCCATCATCAGACTCCCATGGACTCTAAAGACTTCATCAAAGACCATCATCATTGAGTCAAAATTTGACATTTTTAATCAGATTTTAATTAATTTGTGAGTAGGACTTCATTTCTTTCATGAACAACAATAACATGAACGTTGTATGTGTAATGTATTCCATAAGATCACCACCTCCCCAAAAGTTAATTTCTCAATGCAAAATGAATTAAGCTTCTCAAGCCTCCGGATTTTGTGTTTTTCCCTGAATACTTTCAGATCAACGTCCGGTTGAGAGAAAAAAGGTGGTTTTGCAAAGAAACACAGGATGTGGTGCATCCCATAAATCTTTAAAATATAGTTTTGAACCATGTTTTTATTGCTCAGCCTTTAATTTGCAGTAATTACTTTATCTAGGTTCAGTCGCTTTTTGAGGAACCCCAACAGCCGCGGATAATCATGGTGATGGTTTAGTCTTTTGTGGACATAGACGTCCCGCTCGCTGCTGTAAAGCCTTTACGGTGTACAAATAAACTTGGTATAACGATTTATATGGCTTTAGGTTACATTTAGGTGACGTTTTTGCCAAGCTTAACTTCCCATGGAAAGTTCCCCGAAATTTACTGCCCCTTTGGAGTCCTACAGACACCACCACCCAAACAACAGCAACCGACCAACACACACACCACCTGACTAACAGACACCACCACCGAAACAACACAGACACTACCACCCAAACACCACAACAGCAGCCGACTAACACACACACACACACACACACACACACACACACCACCTGACTAACAAACACCACACAGATACCAACAGGAAAACACCACCACTACCCAAAAAAACACAACCGATAAACACAGACACAAACAACACCCAAATAGCAGACACCGCGACCACCTGACAAACAGTCACAGACAAACACCAACCCCCCCGGATTTCTCTTTACACATCCTACAAAAAGACGCTCTCATGTCCAGAAACAACAACACAAGCACACCGTGACAGAGACACCATCAGGAGGAACACTACATGTTGTAACACAAGTTCTTTAACAGAACTGAACTTTCATTATTTCTAGTACCGGGCACATTAACGCGTTCACGTATCAATCCATTCAATCAATCCATCTACCAGACACCGTAGTCAATAAAAGCCATTTGTAACCACTGCAAACCGGAGACATCTTATCATCAGAGTACTATGAGCTTAAAGCCACATAAAGCGTTTCACAGCATTGATGCAGCCAACTAGCTCCCTAAACGACCAGTGGAGCGAGACTTTGACTACGTTGGATGTGGCGTGCAGGAGAACGTCAACAAACCAACGCAAAAAGAATGAAAATTCTTCAGAATCGCAACGAATAATAATAGTTTTGTTTTTTATAGCGCTTTTCTAGCTACCCAGAGACACTTCACAATAACAGACAAGAACAAAACCAGACAGACAAAAAAGGAAGAGAACTGAGCACACAAAAGAAAAATAGAAAATAGAACTTGAGAAGAACAGCTCAGAATGAGTCATGTAGTGGATAGCAAATGAGGTGCGTACGAGCCTCCCCCAACACGATCCACCGTGAGGAGAACACTCGTGTGAACGGCGTTACAACGAGCACCAACTGTTGCTCTCACTGACGACATGCAGACTCACACAGCAGTCTGAAGTTTCTGCACCCTGTGAAAGGTGGTTTTCTCTTGCTGGTCATATTGTTCAGAAGAAGAGAGGTTCTTTATCATCTGAAAACATAAATGACCTTGTTTGTCTCAGCAACTGGCTTTGTGCAGCGGAGTAAGAAAATGCAAAGTCGGAGGAGTGGATAAAGAAAAGAGGACGTTAAAAGTTAATTTTGTCATTGTGTAACCGCTCAACCTGCATCACTGAAATCCACAGTCTTTACAAACTAAAAAGTCCTTTTTTTGTGCAGGACCACTTGAGTTTACTCTAACAGAGACCGTCGTTACTGAAAATATGCTGCATCACGCTGTTCCCTGATCAAAGACAAGTGTTTCTTCTGGTACTTGTTCAGAAAGAAAAGAAAACAGATTAATATACCGGAGGTTAACTTGCTGTTGCTCCGACAGTGCCCGTTACAAATAAAAAAGCATGCAATACACTAGTTTTTAATGGATTATAGAATTATGCGCATAATGCAATTAATGCCTGTTAATCACAGAAAATCAGGCGATTAATCGAGTTACATTCTTTCATCTTTGCCCAGCACTAATTATTTCATTCGACTGTGAACTTTTCACCACTTTCTCTGTGCGACGTGTGAGAGCCTTTGACTGCAGCAGACTAGAGCTCAGCGAGGATGCTCCAGGCTCCTTCCACAGCACAGCTAAAGAAACAGAGCCAGGCAAAGAGGAACAAACGGCGTACCTCTTTTTGGTTTGGGGAAGCTCTCGTGGAGGTGGAAAACCACTTTCTCCACAAAGTGCTGGATGTTGCAGTGCTCTGGTCCTCGGACAAACACCATCCAGTCGTGGGTGAAGCCCTCCACAGTGGGTTTCTTTCTCAGCTGAGCACGATGACCGAGTTCTAGTTTCACCTGAACAGCCCCCTGCAGAACACACGCCTGCGGGTTATTACTAAAGCATGCGCATGCGAACAAACAAAAACAGGTAAACATGATCAGAGTAGCTCCATCCTGACGTCACACCAATAGAAACCAGACATGTGGTGTGACTTCAAAATAAATCCTTTCACTCTGCCATTTTGCATTATACATTAATGGAGAACTCTTTTAAAAAAGCAGCCAGCATTCATTTAATGCAGCGTTGATCCTCGCCACGTTTACTCCTGTGTGAGCCTGATTTAAGTTGCTCCACTTTTAATTATTAGCTTGAGCATACAGGTCCTTTCATGAGGTGTCATTAGAACGTTACCGGGACGTTCACACAAACTTTATATCAGAGAAATAAGTGTCAAATCATAATGCATCTACAACTACTTGAAAGCTGACATATCAGCCATTTACGTGCTACTTTAAGCACCGCGTGGAACATTAAGCCGAGTGAGACTTGGTGGTACGGTTATGGAGAACACATGAAAAGCACCAGCGAGGGGGGTTTGCATCACGCTGTCCGGGCAGGACACAGCGGCACGTCTCGGCTCTGGCTAGCTGCACGGAGGAAAAAACACCGGCTCCTCCGGTGAGACAAGGCGGTACAATATCCGAAAATATGCTCCGTTAGGCCGGACCGGCGAGCAAATCCTCCGACTGGCTACTTACCGAGTTGGCCATCCTTGAGGCCCCACGTCGCTGTTATTTCATGGAGAACTCGTTTTAAATGGGAGCAGGGGTGCATTCAGTTTGCCTATCGCGGCCGACATGGTCTCTCCTGGACTGAAGTCACGCTCGAGACTTGCAGAGCAGCGCCGGCTGTCAAAACGAAATTCAACACCATGGAGAGGTTCCGCTGCAGACTTTCAAAATAAAACCCATCGCAGTGCGGTCATTCTTAGTCTGCGGATTTGCAGAATAGCAAGCGATGCTTTCGTCATTTTTCGTTGTCGTGACACGGTATTTGCATTGTATTTACCCAAGACCTTGGACAGGGTCTTACATATACTGCGGCATGAGTAGTAGGCATGCCTCATGGTTGAATAAAGACCTCCACGTGTTACGACGGGTCAAAAGGTTGTGAAACAAACTGGGTATTTTGGCCTTACATTCAATTTATGTTAAATGGTAATTATGACAAATCGAGCAACGGTAATATAATATAATAATATAATTTCTGCTTTTTACGTACTCATGTACTGCGAGTGAACTAATCAGCTACTTTATAACATGTGTTTCTTTTAGCATAATCTCCTAATATGACACCCCATGGTAACGTAACTTTTTGAATGAAAGTTCCGTTTGTTTTCATATGTATATGATAGAGTAGGCCCATGGCTGCTGGTCCAGATGGTAAAACCCAGAACTAGCCGTGGTAATATGATAAAGGATCAATCGAAAATTGCATTTGTATTCTTTATTTCATCTATTGAGGAATTACGATGCATCACAGGTTAATTACCTGCAAGTTTTTCCCAGTAACAAAATATTCCTTGTTTCTAATCATTTTGCATCCTTTTATTTTAACATAAAGTTCTTTCGTTTCCGCTGCATATTTTCCACAATTCGCAAACTTTACGACCCTGAGGGTCAGCGCGCACGCGCAGCTTGGCATGCCAACTGGGGCTGGTCTGAGACGGAGCACAAGACGGAAAGAGCCAATAAGAGAAGAGCAGGCACACGGCCCTCCAATCGTTGGGACGCAACCGCCTCGTGGGAAGCTGCCTAGAGAGGCATTTTCACAGTTTGTAATACAAATGAATCAAATCCGTTTAAAGCAGTTTGAAGCAATGGCTAATGGACGACTAATGTGATGGCGACAAGACATTTGACTTCCAACAAGAACAACGGGAACGGAACTTTACAAGCACTATTTTGATGAATAAACAAATAAAATAAACACATAATGGATGTAATAACAATTTAATTTAACTGTTAATATTGATCATAACTCGTGCGTGCATATTTATATAAACTTGATATTCAAAGTTTCCGATGTCAGTTTATTGTAAAGTTTTGATCGCATCTTATTATAGCCTGACATTTGTGCGGTGTGTGTGCGTTCTTTTTGGTCCTCCATACGCGCCGTAGTTACTTGCTGGTTTGCGGGATAAAGGATGTTGAGGTAAAGTTATGGCAGCAACCTGTTTAACGTGCATTTACTTTAAGCAGAGAGACTGTTATGCTACTCAGTCTACTGCAGGAGCATTGCGGTCCACTATGCTTTATTATTACGAAGAATTGCCTCTGACAGCTCAATATCTTCAGCTGCTACATCACTCAATTGTAGCAATATTAGCCGGTTCAGCTAGCTACAACTTAATTATCTAGCCACGTGTGTTTGTAGAGGTCGCTATAGTTTTGCTGCGTGACATATGGTTATATACGACTAGTAGCCCGCGTCAGCACCGCGACCGAGAGATGTTGGCACAGTCGAGCCCATGGATACATTTGTAATCTAAACTAACTTACGAGCAAGTCATTATGATGCAGCGGACGCTTCTGTAAGAAATTGCTGATTGCATAAAACATTTTCAGACAATTTATTGTGCCATAAAAATAAGTGCAAGTTAACTAACAGCCCAGTCAAAGGATAGATCGAATAGACATGAAATCGTCATCTTATGGCCGCATCAAAATGCGTTGTGACTATCCGTGATGCCTCACAAACGGGAGTGCAGGGCTGGACCCCCGGAGGTGTGCGGTGTATGTGTAGCAGCAGCAGACGGCAGCATGACCCGCTAACAAAGCGGCGTCCATCACAACCTGCTCAGAGTTCAGAGGGCAGCAGTAAATCAGCTGTCAATCATTATGAGCCTCCCCCTTTAAACAATGAATACGATACTATCCTCTCATCTTTGGCCTTTCTACTGCTGCCAGTCACCAGGTTAATATTTTGATGGAGATGTTTTGGCTTCACCTAAGGCAGCATTTTGATACAGGATCCATGGTATCAGGTAACCTTCTCAAACAGCCACCGCTCCACGGCACTAGTGGTCAACGCCATTGTCCGGTTCCCACATACTTCAAGAGTTAACATTTTGATTGTTGTGCCTAATAGATTAAAACAATTAACTCATTTATTGCACATTTTGAAATTCATTAATCTCGTTAATGGCGATTAATAATGTTGTTGTTGTTACAATATGAATGTTTTGTTTTTCTAAATCTTAAACGTAATCACTTTAGAAAGTGTGTTTTTAGGACACTGTTGTTTATTTGTTAATGTTTTTTTAAACCCAAAACTACATGCATTTGATCATCTTGGAGACAGAATTCCACCTGGTGGAACATGTTGAACTTGCGACTCTTCCTGCTGTCCTCGTGCACTTTGCTCTCATCTCTCCATCATTTAATGGCTGTTTTTGAAGTGCCAACAATCCCCACATTTAGCCAGGACGTTTTCAAACCACAGTCTTTTATGGACACAGTGGTGGTCCTCTGCAGACTGTGTGCCACGCAGGGTAACGTTAGATGTTGAGATGGAAGTAGCATAGCAGCTAGCTTAGCCTAGCAGCTAGCTTAGCATAACGGTGCTTTAAGTGGTCCGTTTGCCACTGACCCTCCTTCTGTTTGAAATGTGGAGTTGTGTGTGTGTGTGTGTGTGTGTGTGTGTGTGTGCGTGTGTGTGTATTTAACATCTTGTCAAAGACCGTTAAAAGTACCATGTTAAATAAATAGCTTTTAATTAGTTTATTAAAAAACATTTTCACATTTCTTTTTGAGGAACTGCATCCAGCAGCGTTTTTGCTCCAAAAAAGACAAAGAATGCTTCATAAATGATTGCGATTGTTGTTGTTAATCAAATATTTTATCAATTGACTAACTTGTTTCACAGCCCTAATAAGATTGATCTAATGACGTAATGATTTATTAATCCAAACTATCACGAACCAACCCTTTTATTTAAATGTGTTTCACATGTTCGAGAAGACCACCGGTTGTGTAGCTGTTGTGTGATATGAGGCATTCCGACATGGCTGTGAAAGCGTGTGTGTTGTGTCTCCTGAAAGCCCATCAGAAGTCCCACGTGTCAGTCGGGGCTGTGTGTTTCTCGGCAGCCGGTGTCCCACAGTAAAGCCTCAGAGGGGTCATTTCTAAAGCCGTGTTGGCTCAACACTGTCCCTGTATTGTCCTCCCTTTTGTTGCCAATGCAGACCTGGCAGGACAGGCCGGACCGTATTGTTTTCCTCTCAGGTACATATGCTCTAGAAACCACTGGAACATTTTTTTTTTTATAGCTCTATCTGACCATCCGCTGCCTTAAGTTTGGGTAGAAGCAGCTTTTTCCAAATTATAGCTGTCACCTGAGCCGTGACAAGTAATGACAGTCGTTATAGTTTGTTTCACTAAAAAGTAAACTTCTACCACACACACACAACTTGTCAAAATCAAGTTTTTAGCTAAAATATCTTAGTAACACATGTGGGTCCTTCATTATTAGCAGAAGTATCAATTGTCCAAACAGCTGTATAGCAGCAGTACTTACTGGTTCATGTGGCCATGGAGCTGAATGTCGGTGCAGAGCGAGCAGGCTGGTGGACAGTAGAGCAAGGCAGGCGGGGTAATCAGTTAGATAACAGGGAGGGGGGAGGGGGGGGGGGGGTTGTTGAGGCTGCCTGTGTTTACAGTCATGGTAAACTAATATATTCGATGAGTGGGAAAAGGCCTAAAAGCTTCACTGTGTGCTCTCTCTCCTCCCCTTGAAGTCACATGTAGGTAGGATAGTAACTTTCTTTAAGGCCACAGCCAGCGTTTATACTTACAGGGGAAGAAATAAAAGAGTAAAACCTATAAAAAAATGCACAATATATACTAAAAATATAAGAATATAAAGTTCAATTAGCCAAGTAAACAATAGTCCAAAGATTTAACCAAACTAACAAGCAACACTAACTGTGTTCTTCATTCTTTTAGGTAATATATATGTATAAATATTTCAGGCCTTCACTTTTGTTTTTGATGATACTACACCCAATACAAATCTATGCAAAGCCACCCGAATGATCCAGCAAATTCGAAGATAAATATGTTTCATTTAACAGAGGGGGAGAACATTCTCGTTAAAAGTCAAGAAGACAAGCGTTGCCTCAGAAACTATTAAACCAGTTTCCAGAACTAAAAGTAGTTTGATTCTAATGAAGGATGTCTCCGATAAAGCAGCCTACATCTATTTTCTGATACCTAGCACACAGACGCTCCCTGAAGTATGGGCCGATAGGAGACCTGCTGGGTGCTGGTGTGCAGCTGTGGTCTGCAGGCCTCCGACAGCTGGCGCTCAGCACCTGTGCTCCGTATCGGCAGGCCCGATACCCTGAGATGGGCCCCCTGAGACTTATTGAACGGAGTGGTAAACTGATGACTTGTGAATAATTTAATGCAAAATGATGCGATGGCTGCAGGCCAATCATCTAATAACACAAGGCCCGAATTGCCTTTTAAAAGGGTGTCGGCCCCTGAACGCCTCCGAGCAGGGCTTCAGCCGGGGACGGTCGTCTCCATTGATGCTACAATGCAGCAGGTGGCTCACAGCATCACTCAGCTTTGTTTCACTAACACTGTTAACTACCACAAAGGTTATTGAACTCATTCTGACGTTTTTGTGTCCCCCCCTTCAAGGCTTGACCAGCTGATATGACGGACAGTCTGAAGATACGATTTGACTTTCACAGCCCCGTCATACAAGCTCAGGTAAGCTGCTGAGTCAGCAGCTCAGACTGGTCTTCACTTCCATATTCCCACTGTCAGGGGTCTTTGTCTTCATTTCTGGTCAGTTCACAACGACCTGGTTTGATTTGAGACAACACTGACCTGTCTCAATGTGCTCACTAGCTTAGTAGGTACATTGTGCGCACATTGTCTTGGATGAATATGTACTAATGGAAGTATTCAAATGGGAGCACAGCTCTGCACTTGGCATATCAATCCCATCATCTCACAAGCAGGTGGATGCATCTCCCAGGATGTTAAACTGTCATTGGGATGAACACTCCTAGGTCCGGCCCTCGTGCCGATCTTCTTATCCTGTTAGCCAATGAGTGAGCCAGGCTAGAACTGCCGACCAATGGCAGAGAAGCAGGCACGTGCCACTCACCTCTCAAAACAACAGAAGGGGATTGTTTAATGCTGAAAAGATCAATCTTAAGAAAACCACAAGAAAGATCTCTCAAACAAAGCGAACCTTTCTTAAAATCAGACACGTACCAGGTCTGCTTTCTCTATTCCAGACGGTGAGACAGCTTGTTGCTGCTGTGCTGAAGGAGAAAGAAACCAATGGGCGAATCACACAGTCCTCCACCCAGGTGAGTTTATTATAATGGCTTCACTGCTGCTGGATGCTAAGTGTTTCCTGTATTAACATGACGTTTGGGTGTGATATAACGGCTCCTAGATTTAATTGGAGAAGTTGAGTTTGAGACTACACCCACTAAGGAGTCTCCATTTGGGGTCTTTAGGACCAATAAGAGATCACTGATCACTGAAAGCAGTACCGGTGATATAGTGTTATTGAAGCCTTTTATTCATCGTTTGGCATTAATTATTTATTGAACTGTGTTGACATTATTGCATATTCAGTTTTGAAATGATGAGATACAAAAGAACCATATATTGACAATTGGTATCCAACATCGGGAACGTGTTCCACTCGTGTTGGCTTTTTAGCGCCATCGGCTCGTCTCTGATGATCCGCTTTTCACAGAAGCACCCGACCCAAGCATTTAGAATGCATTGCAACAGATAACCATCAGAGGCTGGTCGTTGCAGACGGACCTTGAGGAGTTCTGAACTGTACCTTTGTGCACTTTTCTTGTTGAAAATACCATGTTTTTAAGTCTGAACATGGACTGTAAAACAAGACATGCAGGGAATTCAGCACACTCTTTGTCCTGACTGAAGGAGTTGTTGAACATGTGAGTCCAATTGAACGGGAGCTTTCAAGCTGAATCTAGATCCAGATCTGGAGTTGTGTGTGCAGGGCCCGGCGCTGGAGGCCCTGTGGCAGCAGTGCTGCAGTGACTGCGCTCCGGTGCGCTCTGCCTGCTGCGATGCCGTGGTGCTGCTGGTGGATCAAGGCCACGCCGACCTACACTACGTTCTCAACAGAGTCCTCAACCTGCTGCCCTCCTCCAGGTACACAAAACACACCAAGTAGAGCCTCACTTCATCTAGCGTGCACATGCTTCGATTTCTATTCTATACCTTTCTGTGAAGCCACTTTTGAACTTTGAGACAACTTTTATTGTTTTTAGGTCAACAAAAATCTGTCAGTAGTAATACAATAGTACTCACAAGTCACAGCTCAGTGTTGTGCCAGTCAAGGTGACCACCAAATACGGATATTTCTTTAAGTAGAACGTCCGGAAGAATATAACTTTCAGGATGCAGTGATGCCTGCAGAGCAGGAGGATCATTTCCAACTGCTGAGTAACTTTTTTTTCTATTCAACACAATAGGACTCATCTTAAATGGCCTTTGTGTATGTAAACGTTTGACCACAACTGTATGTTAGCTCTCATTGTAACTGCAAAATCCAGGGATTGCGATATATCAATTCAAATTCACGAGTTCCATTTAGAGACAATGACCCCATGCAAAGGTCTACTATTAATATGATTTATGGCTTACCCGTATGTATCAAAGTGATATAAACATTTCTATGTATTCAACATTTGTGCTCAAGTGTCAGAAAGCAAATAAGCTCCTTTTCCTTTTCTAATTTGAGCTCTTTCCTTATTATTCTGTGTCTGTTTGTGACCGGCCCTGTGAGCAGAAATGCCCAGGGGCTGATGAAGAATATTGGACGGCTGCTCCAGTTGCAGGCCGACCAGAGAGAAAGAGTCCCACACTTCAGCTGTCCTTACTCCATCAGGTCAGTCTCAATCACACGGGATGTCGATCTATCTTTATTGTTGCATGTGTATAATTGGTCATATCTCACACGATGACATTTTAAAGGTTATTTTGGTACTGTTCGAGGATCCCCTTTGATAGGTTGACTCCTCCGTTGTATTTAGTACATCATGTAGGAATCCTAGGAGTAAGGGTGCTTTCAAAATCAACAGCAAATCCTGCTGCTCATTTTTGCTTTCTGTTTTCTGGTCAAATCAAGCCTGAAGTGATTATGAGTGTGAATTATTATTATTATTATTATGAATTATGACTGATGAGAAGAAAGTTTTGTGGTTTTTATGTAAGGATTTTTTATGTATCCCTTGTTTATCTCTCTTTTTACTAGGGAAATTCTTAAATAAGTAGGTCACTATTTAACTGCTTCAATCCCAGACCTACAGATCTCCCTGAAAACACAAACCATCCTTTTCAGGCTTTGCTCGTGCACATTAAACAGATGCAACATGTTGATCAGTGAGCTGTAAACGTGTTGTTGCTGCTTTGATGCACCTGGGACTAGGCCAGGTAGTCACACTGTAACAGGTGTACAGAATCCAAATTAATAATGGCTGAGTTGCATGACACTGCAGTGACACGGTCACTGTGGCGGCTATCCATTAATGTTATCTAGTATATTATTGATACTTTTTACTCAGAAAAGTGTTTGGTCAACGCTGCTCAGACTACGTTCGAGCAGGCTTTGGTTGAATGCAGATACAGTCTTTGTGGAGAGGTCTAAATGTAGACTGGGATGCCAGTGACTGTGGTCTGACGAGGATTTAGTGTTTTATGAGCTATGAAAGCGTAGACTACGGCTGCCTGTGAATGTCACCTCAACTCTAACATTCTCACTACTCAAATTAGTCTGATTGGGAGGAGCCACTGAAACATTGCCCGTTTCCAGTAGCCAATGAGATTGTGGTATTGTCATGAAGTCATTTGAAGGCCTAGTCCTGTCCCACCTCAACCTTTACCAACCCCCTCATGGACCACCTGCAGCTCGCCTACAGGTCTGTAGACAATGCTGTCAACATGGCCCTCCAGCATCTGGACTCTCCAGGAACCTACGCCAGGATCCTGTTTGTGGACTTCAGCTCTGCTTTCAACACCATCGTCCCGTCTCTGCTGCACGTGCCCGACTTCACCTGCAAGTGGATCACAGACTTCCTGTCCGACAGGAAGCAGCACGTGAAGCTGGGAAACATGTCTCAGCCTCTCGGACCGTCAGCACCGGTTCCCCCCAAGGCTGCGGTCTTTCCCCTCTGCTCTTCTCCCTGTACACCAACAGCTGCACCTCCAGTCACCAGTCCGTCAAGCTCCTGAAGTTTGCGGATGACACCACCCTCATTGGACTGATCTCTGGTGGGGATGAGTCCGCCTACAGGTGGAGTCTGACCATCTGGTGTCGTGGTGCAGCCAGAACAACCTGGAGCTCAACGCTCTAAAGACAGTGGAGATGGTTGTGGATTTCCGAAGCAACGTGGGCCCATTTTCCCCCATCACTGTGATTCTGCCGGTACCACTATGGAGTCCTTTCGTTTCCTGGGCTCCATCATCACCCAGGACCTCAAGTGGGAGCAGAACATCAGCTCCATCACCAAGAAGGCTCAGCAGAGGTTGTTCTTCCTGGGGCAGTTAAAGAAATTCAACCAGCCAAAGACAATGATGGTGCACTTCTCTTTGAGCCTCTGGCAGGAGGGTTCGGTCCATCATAACCAAGACCTCACGCCACAGAAAGTTTTTTTTTTTTTCCCCCGCCATCAGTCTCATGAACAAAGTACGAGCCCCCGATTCACCCAATACTCCATCCCTGGAACATTTTGCACATATGTTTCAATGGTGAGAGAAACCAATGTACATACGTGTTTTAACATACGTATCTGTTCATTGTTTTAATTTTGCTTATATATTTTTATCTTCTTTTATTCAATTGTATTTGTATATCTAGTCATCAAGACAAATGTATAACATATGTTGTAATAAATGGCTTCTGATTCCGATCCACATTTCAGATGCTCTTTAGTCTAGATCAGCTTGGTGAACTGTTTGAATGTCTTACTGCTTGTGTGTTTTGAGCCATTACACTCAAAGCATTTTCAGTTTCATGAAAACTCAGCATTTACTTTGACCAATATCCGAGCCAGTGGAGGCCCCACTTACTTGGAAGCTTTTGTTAGGAGAGCAGTCATGCTGACTATCCAGTTCCTATTCAGAGTAGTAGCTGTCTGTGGCTTAGGCAGATTTAGTGTAGGGGTGTCCTCCTCCTCCTCCTCTTCCTCCAGTCTTAGACCTTTACCCCTGCCAGGACCCCGGGGCCTCTTTAATCAGTTACAGCGGGTGATATAAAGAGTTGTTTATGTTCTTCCCTTCCTCTCTGCCGCTCTCCATCTACCCTTCACCCTCTTAACGTGTCTTTCTCCTCATCTCTATCTTTCCTTGCTTCCTCTCCTCCTTCCCATTGTCCTATTCTGTCTTCAGCGCTGCCTCTTCTGTCTGCGTCTGTCGGGCGGCCCACACCTCCCCGGTGGGGAGATGAATGTGTGGGGGGGCAGCAGGGAGGCGCCGTTGGTCTGGCAGTCTGGCCCTCCATTGGTCGCTGGTCCTGGCACCCCTGGGTAACTAAGTGCTGCAGGATTAATGGAGGATGCACACTGCCGTCCTTTGTTGATCGTCTGCTCGCTGCAATCTGCCACGGAGACTCCGAGCCCCTCACACCCCCAGCAGGGTGTGGGGGTGTGAGGGGCTGCGATTTGTGACCGTAGCGTAGTTTGTCCTGGATGCGTGTGCCAGCTCAGGTAATCAGCAGCTACTCTCAAGGTCAGCCATGCAAACCCTGGCTAGTTAGTAATCGTAGAGTGAACGTAGATCACATCAATAACTAATATATTAGTGTTTACAGACAAGACAGTGTATTTGCTGTAGGCCTTTTAGGTCATTAAAGAATTCAGGTCCCACTGTGAAGGACATGTTATGATTGATGAACTGACATTGCTTCTTTGTGTACAGTGTAGTTTTCTCATCATCATCATCATTTGGGGGGAGACATTGCAGCATGTTTACAATTTGTGCAAAATTGACCTAAACTGAATGTGATGAAGTGAACAAAATGAACATGAACAAAAAAGCTTTCGTACTTGGCGTATATGACAAAGCATATGCTCCAAAGATGATGAAACATAAGCTGATGGAAAAATATTTTTTTGATGTGTAATGAGTTAATTACCAAATCAATACAAAATAACAACAAACACCAACATTAATTATCATGTTAAATCACTGGAAGTAATCCTTATACAATCCTTATCGCTTGCTTTAATGTCCTAATAGTAATTACTAATACTAAAAATATATTCTGAATTAACTTGAATGAGTATGTAGTTCACACTTCTATCCTCTTCCCTCCCTTGCACTTAAGAATTACTATTTTATAGAAGTACTGATATGATTACATTACATTACAGGTCATTTAGCAGATGCTTTTATCCAAAGCGACTTACATTACACTTTAAACCCATGGCTTTTTCACATTTTTGCCCCGCGGAGCAATTAGGGGTGTCTTGCTCAGGGACACTTCGACATGGAACATGGGGCAGCCTGGAATCGAACCAACAACCTTCTCTAACCCCTGCGCCACGACGACCCCAAATGATCTATTACCTTAATGTTTGCGCGTTTCGTCTTTTCCACTTCTACACAAATAAAGCGACTGATTTTTCTTTTTACTCTTAGGAGTACTTAATTGTTTGATTCTGCATTTTCTCTTTATTACAGTCGTGGCAAAGCGATGGAGCTACCACATATTCAGACTTTGAAGCAGCTAGGGGGGGATTCAGTGCCTTGCTCAAGAGCATGCCAGCCCCCAGCAGTCCACACTGTAACATGTGCCAGGCTGGACTTCAGGCAGCCACCTTTCAGTATCGCAAATAGTCCCCCACAGACCTGCCCCCGTCAACACTGCTACAGTGAAATCGAGAGAAACAGAGATGCAGTATAACAGAGTTGGGTCATGTGACACAAAAGAGCCATACATAACTTTCTGTACACACTACAGGATCACAATTTGGCTTTTGTTTTTGCAGCCTGTAGTGTTAATCCTCACGTGATGTCATTTTATGCTCTAATTTCTGTCTTTTTCATGTCATTTTGACATCAATGTCCAATGGTTGTATCGCTGGTATCATTTGAGGACTTTCAATTGTAAGGCCAATATGACACTAGTGTCTCTGTACTAAAACCTGTATACTAAACAAAACATCAGGATGTCTTTTTCAGACTAATTATGTTTCTCTAAAGGCTAAAGCCAGCCTCGGTTGTGCTTATTAACGTCATGCGCTATAAGACTAAGCTTTCTGTGTGTCTGCATGTCTGAGTGATAAGAATTGGGGGGTTTTATCGGTCATATTTATCTGTTAAAGATACCTTCAAGGTTAATGGGATTCATGAAGGATATCGTTAGAGTGCTGTGGTGCTTTCAGGTGGTAACCCAGACTTCGACTCAGAGCTGGGTGTAAACGGCAGCCTTTCAGCAGACGGCTCTTACCTGGCCTGTCCGTCCGCCAGCACTCTGATCCACCGCTGAACTTGGAGTTGAGCTTACAGGAGGAAGGTCTCTGCCGCTCCCTTTGTGTGGCTCCTGAAAAGGAGGCAGCGCGTTGAGAGGCTGATGGATGGAAGCTGTGCTGAGGAGACGGCTATCGGGAACCCGAGGAGGGGGGCAGACATGGTCAGACAGATAACAGCATGTAAAGTGTGTGTGGGGGAGGGCGCTTTTTAGTCCGTGTCAGGGCCTGGCTGGAGTCTGCTACGAGCACAGACATGCTCAGTCACTGAACTTCCTTCCTCCACTTCCATATGCGATGGAAGGAATGCGTGGGTTAAGTGCTCTTGAGTTGACCTGTCTGTGGGCTTCACCTTGGATTTGACCCCTGTGTGTGGTCCGGACTTATGGGTCTGCAAATGGAAGCGTAATGAAGGCTGTGTGGATTTTACACTGCCAGGACAGGTAGAGGATGGGAACACCTCTAGTTTTTAAACTATTTTATTCAAAAATAGTAATTGGAAGACATAATATGATTGTGAGAGATGGGGCCGATCCACACATATTTTACTGAAGCTTACTGCTAACCTTGATGACAGCCGGGCTCTTGTGTTCTATATGGCTCCATACGAGATTGACAAATGTAAAAGAGTAATTGGCAGCACCAGTGAGCGAATGTGAGTTCAGACTCAAGACAACGAATGGATGTTCTTGCTTGGTTTTAGTGCTCAAAGAATTGTGCAGTGATGCACAATTCTTGGCAGCAGCATTACACGCACATTTTATCTTTCAGCCGACTGCAATTATAACATTTGTATATCTGATTGCAACTATTAATCTGGCAAAACATGAATAAGAAACTACACAGTAGGCAGAATGATTACGAATAAATAACAACATTTCCGCACATCAAAGGGCAGGCGCATTAAATATTAAAACTTCGGGCAACAATTTTCAAAGTGAGGGACGGAAAACCTACTTTGGTTTCCCAGTCGAATAGCCCAAGAGCACTGAGATGTTCTCAGATTGTGGCGTATTTCACTCTGCAGTAGCTTCTTCTTGTCCCGTATGTTCAGGTTTAGCGGCAGCAAAAGCTGTGCAATCCTTTTTGTGAAGGGTTGTTTCTGTAGTTCCTCTTCATAGTTCATCTCTCAAGTTGATCACTAATGAGCCGTCAGTCATATCTGTCATTTCAGTTTATAAATTTAATAGTTTGGATCCTGGACCTTAAGTTTTTTGCTATAGGAGCTTAAATGGTGATTACTGTGGTTCATTTAGCATGTAACATCTGGCAACACTCTGTTCGTGTTGTTTTGCAGGAGCAGCCCTCACCCGTTCATCACTGCGCTGGAGAACCGCGTGGACTGCTGGCCCACTTTGCTTCTGGAGATTGATGACTTAATTGGCCAGGCTGCTGACAGGTTAGCATGGCTGCCACAGAGGCTTTGAACCCTCCCATCAAATCTCCTTCCTATCACGCTGCATGAATTTCAACGCCATCTGGTGCGGACACCCATCCTGATAACTCATATCTCAGCGCTCAGCTGTTATTCCAATGACGACAGACACACACCACCACTGCACATCTCTGCTTCTCACCTGGTGTGGACTTTGTGTTTTTGCAGAAGTGAACCCTCCTACATCACCATGCTGGCCCCCTTCCTGCAATACCTGTACTGTGAGCCTCAGAGGCAGCCCCAGCACGCCCTCCTGCGGCACAGACTCCTCAGGGTGCTCCTGCCTGCACACCCAGGGGCTGGATCCGTCCTCCAGGAACCCACCTCCCAAGTGGCAGACAGCCTACTTCAGTGCCTCTGTCAGCTGGTGCCACACATGCAGGTGACTCACTTTAGGGTGTGGTTAGGCAGAACTGTAACAGAGGCCTACGTCATAGAGGTCATAGATAAAATAATATATAGCTCCAAAACATCATGTCTCAGTATCAGTATCAAAAAGACTGGGGCATAGAGCACTTGCATTTTCATACAAACAAATCTTATGGTCCAATTATCATTGTTACTTGAAGGATGTTATTCTAATACATAATAACTTTCTCCAAATCAAATACCAAGAAACCGGGTGAAAGTCTCCGTGCTGCAGCACCTTCTTGTGAAATCTAACTCTGCCAAAATCTAACAACACTCGCACGAGCAGCAGTTTAAATGAACTTCTTCATCACTACACAGAGACAATGTGGTTGATGGTGTTAAGAGGAGTTGGTGTTATCGTCCGTGTTGACAGGTGGACAGCGTGGAGGCGGTGCTGGAGCTGTGTGGATTCGTAGACGCCCTGTTTCAGAACCTCGTCCTGGCCCCGAAGGAACGCTGGAGGACGGAGAGAGTCGGCCTGCTTCTCCACCTGCTGTGTGCCTGCCGGCGCTGCCTGGAGTTAAACGGAGACTGCCGCCCTCTGCTCAACGTGCTGCAACGGCTGCTGCCCGCCAGTCACCAGGTCGGTAGTTTATGTTCCAATAAAACATGTTATTCGCTCTGGACAAGTTCATCGACAGTCATCTCACCTGCACTGTTTCCATCTGCAGGAGCTGCCGTTGGATGAGCTGTTGATGGGCGTGGCTATGCTGCTCTTAGAGGTCCCTGCAGCTCAGCAGACCAGCCTGCTCAGTCTGGGTAAAAAGCCTCTTTAATAAATCTGTTGAATCTGAATGTGTGAAACATCCAGTACTGGACACACAGGGAGAGTGTGATTGCACGATGTAGTTCTTCATACACTAGATCATTTACACTATATCAGCGGCTCCCAAACTCAAGAATGCCACGGCCCACTTTGAAATCTTAAAATCTTTCGCGGACCACCCAAACCTTTAATCACAACTCTGATCAAAACATAATGATTAAATGACCTCCGCAAGGTATTTGCTCGCTTGCGAAACGTGAACTTCGTTGCTCGCGAGGAGAATCTCTGCTCGCGCTCAAAAGAGTTTTCCACGTGCTCGCTGTTGTTCTGTTTGACAGTAAGGTGGAGACGGTGCTTTCAGGGTCCGATCGATGCCGTGAAGTGCGTCCGCTCCCGCCGCCCCCTCGCCATCCACGCCTTAAATCTTAAATCGGCTGCTTTTAGAATAACTTATTTTCCCCGTTAAGATGGTTCAGCTACTGTAAAGAAAAGGGCGCCGTCTCTCGCTCTTTGATCTCATGAAGTGCTCGGCGAGAACGACAGCTTTGTTTCTCCGACACGCCCTGAAAAAAGCTCCGTATCTCACGCGCTTCAGCGCCGCTCAGCATCTCGCCGTCGTAGGCCGAGCTTTGGCATGTTTGGCAGAGCGCCTTGAGCGCTGTGTACAACCAGTATGGATTAACCAATTGATCCATATATAAGGCGCTCCGGATTATAAGGCACCGTCGTTTTTTGAGAAAATTAAAGCCTTTTAAGTGCGCCTTGGAGTGCGTAAAATGCGGTATATTTACTTTAATACTACAAGAGGGCGCCCCGTTTGTTGAACAATGACAGGCGGACAAGAGCAGCCATTTCGAGCGAGAGCCTTATTGTTTTATTAATCTGTCCGTTTAAATTGTTTGTGCTTCATCAACTAATGTTTCACATAACTAATGTGCCGTATCATCAATATTTTTATATTCATTTCAAACTTTTAAAAATTGAAAATTAAACTATTTATTGTAAATGACCTCTCGCGGCCCACCTGCAGTACCTTCGCGGCCCACACTTTGGGAATCGCTGCACTATATAATTTACACTAGATTTATCATATTTGCGCTGATTTAACTGAAGCCATAATCCCCTTTATGCTCTCTTAAAAGCTAATAACTCAATTGACAAATTCTAGCACTCAGAACACAGGACTTGGTGGTGTACTGCTGCCTCCATCAGTTAGTGTTTATGTGACTTGTTTTTAGAGGTTAAACAAACTAACCAAATATCCCATAGACTGAGAATCATCACGGATAACTGCTTCATTACAATACGAGACTTATTATACATATTTTCCACATAGAAGTGGTAGGTTTATTTTAACGACATTGCTAGATATAAATTGTATGGCTCAGTAAACCGATCGGTACTATAACTGCAAAATCATTCAAAACATGTCAACACATTTGAAGAACAACGTTTGATTGACAATGATAAATTATATATATTTAAGCTTAAAATTGACCTATACAATTTGGCTATGCATTATTACCTCGTTAATTTACAATCCCTCCAATAATTGCATTAGTTATTTTATGTATATGACATAACATTTAACATGCACTGCATTGCCCTTGAATGTATGAACTGTGGTGTGTGTGGTTATTCCTTCCTAGCTACATAATTTCCCAAGATGGCATGTTAAAATGCCCGTTGATCATTTCATCTCTCCCACTTTACACCCTCATTTGCGCCAATAGATTCTTTGACCTTTTTTCTCTTCTCTCTCTCTGTCCCGCTGCCACAGCTCTGAGTTTAGTTCCTGAGCAGGCTGAGCCGTCGCCCTGGTCCAGTCCAGTCCTGGTTCTTCCTGTGCTCCAGCTCCTGTCCTGCTCGGACCTCACCGAGCCGCTGGCTGACCGGCGGACACACAGCCTCAACAAGGACCTGGCCCACAGGCTTCTGCGCCGCATCAGCAGACCGGCGGGGAAACCTGGTCAGGTGACCATCAGCGAGCTGTTGACTCAAAATGACCAGTCTGAGAGCAGGCTATTTTTAAACGTCTGAGCTAGTTTGGCTGAAATAGTTTTATCCGACTGTTTATTAACGGGTACATCAGCAGTTTTCTCATACTCTTTGTTACACTGACTTTATAATCCAATGCTTTTCCCACCCAGATTTGATCTGTCACTCACTGCTGAAAGTATAGAGCACAATGAAAAAACAATACTTTATATATATATATATATTGCAATTAAGAATTGAGCTCTATAGTGAAAGAGCAGTTATATTGGCTAGGATTGAAGTATTTTGATTATCTCCTTTAAATAATAATAATGACAAAATAAAACTGAAAAAGAACATTAGTGATTCCAGTTGAACACCTTAATGCTTTTTGTTGAAATTAATGCATTAAAATGCAATCGGCATTGGTGAAAGTTACTTCTCCTCCAGTCCAACACTACGTGAGTGAGGAAGAATGGACCAGCTGCTGTTCTACAAGGCTAAAGCTCCTATCCTCTCACTTTCTCTTTTAACATTGAATCTTCTTTTCCAGTTGTTGATTAGTTTATTCCTATGTCTCATCATAAATTTGAGCATGACAGATAAACGGTTCTCCTCCTCAGTCTGGTCCCCCATTGGCTCTTCCTCTCACTCCGTGGTACAGCGAGCTCAGTGTGGCACTGTCCATGCTGCGTAGCGTGGTAGACCATCCGGCGGCAGCAGCTGAGTGGCTGCTGTCCGTCTGCTCTGCCCTGTCGTCCAGCCACAGCCGGCTCGGCACCCTGGCCCTCATCGTGACCCACCTCATCATCGTGGGTGGGGAAGACGTGTGCCAGCTGGCTCTCAAAGCAGGCCAGGCCGTCGCTGCAGCCGACCCCTGCCAGGTAGGTGATCCACCAGTTTCACTTCAGATGGCCAAAGTACAGCTACCGCTGCCTTTTGTTAGTATGTAGGGGCCTCAATTTGTAAAGAATATGAGCTGTTCTGCATTTCCGGAACAGAGATCTGAGTATTCGATATAGCTAGGTTTATTATTGTGGTTTTGTTTGGAAAATGTAAGGTTTTTATCAATGGGATTTTCAATATCAAATTATTTCACCCCAGAAATTAGAAAATACAATCAACAGCCATGGAGAAAAATCCCTATGCTTTTAGTAATATATTACATTTTTTAAAAATGTTTTTCTAAAATGTTTATGGAATATTTATGGCATTAACTAATGGTAATTTTTGTTGAAATGTATAAAGCCAAATGGACAAAGTAGTAGAAGGATCAGAATGTGTATTTTGGGTCTTGGATCAAAGGAGAAAAAGCCCAAATGTCGAGATGTACCTCGGCATGAAAGAAACCGTTTTTACGTTTCGAATAGAGCAACTAGGATATTATTATTTTGAAATATATGGTTATGGTCTTGTTATCAAATATACAAACAAAAATAAATGCAACAGACTTGAAATCATTTAAAAAAAATGTTTTCAAAAAGAAGCAGAGAAGCTCCATTGTACTTAAGGCTGTGTTCATGTACGTTGTGCTGAACATATCAGGTCGACAGGTAAACCTAGAGGAACTGTTGGAGAACAGGTGGAATTAGAAAGCAAAGCCTGTTTCACATACGGTTTGGGTTCTCTTTGCATTTTATGTAGTTAGAGAGACCTATTAGGGCCATCACCCCACTCCCAAATTGTATTCAATTTTATCAGGAATACAAGGGTTAAACCAGGCTTTGTTTTTTAACATTATTTTAATAATCTGTTGTATAAATGTAAGCACTAGTGTAAACTATTTGGGAAAAGGCGTTCTGCTTTTGGTCGTATGAAGAGAGAGGCTTAAAGAGACCCCCCCTCCCGACCCTGGAGAACGATAAATGGAGCCACTAGCTCCAGAAGATGAACTGAAGTATCACATTGTTATACTCTGCTCATTACAGGGGCTCGTTAGAGGCCTCCCGGTGTTCCCCTGCTGCTCTAATTGCTCCCAGAACGACACTTGGCTTGCCGTTCCAATGTGCTGGTGGAAAGTTATTGGCATATGAGACTGCTTTGGACTTCCCTCTCCAATATCGCATGAACCATGTCTGCCGGCTTAGTATGTCTTTGTTAGAAAAGTAACCACAAAGGATTGATCCAGTATTATTTATCTGCATTGAAGCTTGTGGTTTAGAGTCAACACTATTTTTTTCAGGGATTCAGCTTGAAGGAAAACCCATTTCCTTCTTCTGTACCCCACCGTGCTTCCTCTCAAGCAGGTGAAGTGGTTGCTATGCAACGGCTAAGGTGCAGGGCAGCAGTAAGTGCTTTATGTTAATTAAAGGCTGTTAGACTGCAGAGCTGTTGACGACATGCGTCCAAGGACCGTCACCGGTTCCTATTTTCACTCTTTGTCAGACCTGGGTCCGTTGAATGGAATGGACTCAACAACTGGTTTCTGCAGAGACGACACGTGCGCTTCTCTGCAACCCACACATATTAAGTGTAAAAAAAGATTTGTTCTTTATTAAGCTTTTTGTCATCAATCATTCCTATCTTAGACTGCCCTTGGTATTAGATGATGTGTGGTTTCACCCAGAACCCTCTCAGAAGGTTCAATCCTAAACAAGAATCCACCCACAATCATTTTTGTTCCAAGGGATTTGTCTAGAACCCACTCTGGGTTCCTTTTTGAGTCTGTTAATGTTAAAGGTCATGGGCTGATGATGCTGGTGCATCATGGTTCGTAATCACTTCTCAATCTGAAAACTCATTTTTCAAACAACCATTGGCGAACTGGGTTACAAATGGTGCTGGGTAGAATGTTAGGACCGAAAGTGTGTCAATCTGAGTACTTTTATCCTGTTGGGATAAATCTCCTCTTTTGAGGTGCTTGATCTAAAGACACTGTGTGTGTCTGCAGGTTCCCTCCCTTATTCCTGTTCTGTTGTTCAAACTTGGGAAGGAGAAGAATCCGGTCCTGGCTCACGCTGTGCTGAACTGCCTGCCAAACCTCGGGACTCACAAGGTACCGAGCACATCTGCAACGTTATGTTACGTCATGAAATGCAAACAACCGTTCATCATCTCTGAAGATCGCTCTTCATAAAGCCTGATTGATATTGTGAATGTGCACAAGCAGAGGACTCGGAGAGCTCATTTCAGTTGATCTTAATCAATAAGCCAGGCCGTGTGCTTTGTTGTTCCAGTTCTGTGTCCCCATGGTGCTGCAGACTCTCCACATGCTGGCCAGCACCACTAAGCTCAGAGCGGTGGCAATGCGCCTCATGACCGCTCTTTGGAAGAAACAGGTCCGTGATGAGTGACGCTCATGTTCTCCCTTTCGGGTTGTTGTCCGCCTCCTCCTAACCACCCGCTTGGTCCCTCCCTGTCAGGATCGAGTCTACCCGGAGTTGCAGCGTCTGCTGGGCCAGCAGGACAGCAGGGTGGTGGTGGGGAGGGACTCCCAGTGGGAGCAGATCCTGGCCAGAGCCGCCTGCGTCAGAGACATCTGCAGAGAGAGGTGATGGACGAGGGGCTTTCTTTAAGGGAAGACCTTAGGGTCTGATTGATTGAATACAAAGGGAAGGGAGTGGATTAGAGTCCGATGCTTAACTTTGGTCATTTAACTTCCACCCACTCATTGACACCATGTTTTATGATTGTGTAACAGGCCTTACCAACATGGAAGTGACATGTTGGCTGTCATCACACTTACTCTGAACCAGTGCACCAAACCAGACATGGCCACCCCTGCTGCTCTCGCCCTGCAAGGACTACAGGAGCTGTGCCGGGCAGAGGTCTCACACACACACACACACACACACACACACACACACGTAGACAACATTTGCTCCATGTGCAGTATACCTGACTTCTATGAGGATTGTCTTATAGGTTGTGGACATTGTCTCGACATGGAGGAGTCTGGGACCCGAGCTGAGCTGTGACTCGCGTCCCCAGATGGTCAAAGCCATTGCAGAACTTCTGGCTCTGGTTCCCCAGCTCCCTGTCAAGTCGGATGAATACAAGGTATCTGGTGTACTGCGTGAAAGCCTCTGTTTGATGCACTGTTAGGACTAGTTCAATCAGTTTGTCTGCTGGTTCCAAAAGGGGCTATCACATTTACACACCACTCTGGCTAATCAGAACCGTTTTTCCTGTAGGAAAAAAAAGACAAATGTACAAGTTAGGGCTTTAAATAGGTAATAACCAGCCAACTGTCTTTGTTTGCCTACTTTTTGTTTGATTAAAGCAGGTTTATGTGTCTATAGAAAGAAGGAACCTCGCCAAAGTTAAAAAATATCCCTGCAAGCACTTCTAAAGATAAGAATATGTACTCCAAGAACAATACAAGCACCTCTTATTGAGCTGGCTCCTGCAGCTGTGTGTTTTGTGTTTTTCTGTGAGCTTTCTAAAATATTATGGTCAGAATGGTTATCATTGTACATGAAGACCAAAACCTGAGCTCATCGACAGACCATCCCACTTGAAATGGAGACCCTAAACAAAAGTATCAGACTGACAGACCAGTTCAACAGTAAGCTTTAGAGTGGTTGATACTTTGGGACAGAGCAAGGCTAGTAGTTTCCACCCAGTTTCCATGCTAAGCTAGGCTAAACATCCACTGACTTAAGTTGTGTTTACATTACACATTTAAGAGAATGGTCTTGAGATCTTACACTCAGATTGTTGTGCTATATCTATACAGAGTCTATATATAGGCTATAGATATAGCACAACCCTAACCTAAGCCTAATATAACCTGTGAGTGTATGTTGTTACATTTTAAAGCTAATGTTTGCTTTACAAATGCTTTTTTTTTTATCCAGAAAGTGAAGGAGGAGGTGGTCAGCTTTCTCTGGAATTATGCTGTGAGCATGGTACGTGTCCTGAATGTAGAGTGTGTGTGTGTGTGTGTGTGTGTGTGTGTGTGTGTGTGTGTGTGTGTGTGTGTGTGTGTGTGTGTGTGTGTGTGTGTGTGTGTGTGTGTGTGTGTGTGTGTGCGCGCACGCGTGTGACAGACAGATCTAGGGAGGATTTGTGTTTTCATTTACAGAATTGAATCGTTTTAATAAATTATTTTTCCTCTCACATAGATAAAAACTTGTGCAGCAACTCATTTCTTATATTGAAGTTATAGATTTCGAACAAAAGCAAATTAAATGATTGGCTAAAGGTTAGGGAAGGCAGCTGCTGAACCTAAATGCAGTACATTCCTAAAGCTGCGGTTATTTGTTTTTTTAATAAAAACAATGGATCAAATGTGTTCATCAAATGTAGCTACGTTCCCCATAAAATGTTCATAATTCAGCTTTGCAGAGGCCTGAAACATCGGCTCAAACCAATGGTAATCTCTGTGAAAACACAGTCTACATTTCTTACAGTCTACTTCTATTTTAAAACGTTGAGTCATCTATGTGTGTGTGTGTTTGCTGTAACAGGATCCAGAGGTGGCCAGCTGTGGCTACAGGGCTTTAGCAGATTTTCCTGAAGTGGTCCACACAATACATCTTCTTCCTGATGCAGTAAGAATCAACAGTCTCAAGTCTATAACATTACATCACACAATGAGTAGTTTTCCCCCCACACTCAAATTTCTGGTAAACCAGATGATTGTGTGGTATCACATTGGAAGCTTAAAGGGAAAATCAGGCCCCTTTTTATGTGGAAGTCCAATAATTGTTGATGGAGAAAGTAATGGATTGAACTTGCCGTCATGTGACCTGACAATGAGATGAGGATGAACCACTGACCTTCAACTTCTAGTCCCTGCCTCTTAGACCTTAAAAGGAGAGCCTCCTGATTTACTTTATTCCCACAATTTGAGAGCTGAGCTGTAATGTTGGCGGATACATTTTGTAGTGCTTTTCACTCACTCAAGTTGTTGGAGTATTTATGGGAGCCAAAGGATACGGCTAAAGAAAGGCAGCGGCCAGGCCGAGCATGAATATGTGGCCTAATGGTCGGGGACCCTCCAGTTGAAACTTGTTGGGGGGGTTATGTGCAATGCATTCTGGTACATGTAGGCACTGCTGGGGTTGCTCCAAGAGCAATGGACTCCGCTTTCCAGATAAATACAGCACACACTGAAGAATGTATGGCTTCAATCGTCTTAATTCCACATCCCATGCATTTGACATGTTGGTTAGTGCGGAGAATAGCTGTCCTTCAATCAGAGGATCAGGGGTTTGATCACTGGCTCTACTTATCTGCATGTAATTAGACATTGCTCTAGTAGCTGTGACTATGGTATGTGGATGTTGTAAATGTTAATTGCTGATGGGCAGGTGTCACCGTGTATGGTAGCTCCTCCCATCAGTGTTTTGAATGTGTGTAATGGGTGAATGATGACATTAAAGAGCTTTGAGCGGACGAAGATTAGAAGAGCGAAATACAAGTACAACATGTGTACCATTTCAAAACCAGAAGGACAGTGTTTTGTTTTTTTGTTAGTCATCAATTCTTTATCAGTTGATACAAATTCAGAATGCACCGAAAAAATATAATTGAAATTAGCTGTAAAAATAACTAATATGAATATGTTGCGTTACAGATCGGTTCTCTTCTCATAGCTCTTCGCCTGAAAGTTTCCCCTCTCTTTGATCTTCTGTTAACATCGTCTTGTTGGCTCTGCTCCTGTGTAGGCCAGACCAGCTGCAAAGGTCCCTGAAAATGAGGAGGATGAAACCGTGACGGAGGAAGAGAACGAAGAGAAGGATCTCTCCATCCCAGGTTCATCTTATGTGAAGCTGATGGCTCTCACCCCTGTGTCTGTTCTACCAGGTACATCAGGTTGTGGTCAAACATCTAGCATCTAATATGTGCTGTGGTGCTTCCAACAATGGGCAGTGTTAGTGGTTGCAAGGTCAAAACGCTTCTCATTATTGTTGTGTCTTACAGACTCTCATTTAGAATTTGTCTTTTCAGCCTTCGAGCTCTTTCTGACCTCACTGGTGAAGCAGGAGATGGGCCAGATGCCCCGGGGGGTGTACTTCTCCGCCCTGAGGGGGGGGAACCTGCGTTCTGACCAGGGAAAAACCATGGCCGGGATCCCTTCATTCATGTTGAAAACCTATGAGAAGAACAAGCAGCCTGGGCTGAAGCCTGGACTGGCAGGTGAGCAAACCAGTCCCCTTTTGTGTGAAGCTCTCGCTTTGGAACTGTGGTACACAAGTAACTACCTCAATATGCTGTCTGATAAGAGACTTAAATACTGGGCTCACAAACTGACGGTCAGCAAACAAGCTATCTTGGAGAGCTTTCATGACAGATCAGTGTTTCCGGCTGGCTAGCGACTTAGCGGTTAGCTCAACAGCTACAGTAGTTTTTCCAGTTTGTCATTAAGATTTCTGATATGCACACAGTTACAGTGGAGCAAAAAAGTATTTAGTCAGCCACCAATTGTGCAAGTTCTCCCACTTAAAAAGATTGGAGCGGCCTGTAATTTTCATCATAGGTACACGTCAACTATGAGACACAAAATGAGAAAAAAGAATCCAGAAAATCACATTGTAGCTGTTTACCTATCGCAGATTCAGTCTTCCCAGCGTGGTGCAGGTCTGCAATTTTTTTTCTGGTGTCCTTTGCCAGCTCTTTGGTCTTGGCCATAGTGGAGTTTGGACTATGACTGTTTTACCCCATCTCTGGCCCTATACTATACTTTTTTGCCGCACTGTAACTGCCTGCTCAACAGCAGATAGCAGATACAGTTGGTGACCAGCTGGTTTAAATAGAGGAGCATCTAGCAGCTGAAGTGACTGATATGGTTGTTGAGTTGGCGGAGACCAAACCAGAGATCAAAAGCAATGAATATCAGGTACACACAAACAAAACTCCCAAGTAAATGATAATGTTGCTCCATAAGTTCTGGATGTGTATGCAGACAGCTGCTTGCTAAAACATTAAAAAAAAAAGTAAGATGGGCGTGAGTATCAGGAAAGGGATCTGAGTTCTGATGGGAGGGAGGGACTGGTTCTGAAATGACAGGAGAGTTTGTGAACAGGCGAAAGGGTGAAAACAAATTAGGATGATGTGAAATACAGAGGTCTCCATTTCCTAGTCTGCAGAAATGTGAGATGCAGAGTGCAAAACCATGGTACCTCGCTTTGCCGAGCTCAGAGGCCACTCATACTACAAACACTGCGTATGGAGCTACAGAAATGAGGCCCCGGTAGCGTCTCATGTAGTGGCACAAACTACAGTGGCAATACTCAAGGCTGTCTCTAGCGTCAGTAATTGGTTTGTCCATTCAGGACGAGTCACATGGTGGTGCTCAATATGTAGACATTAAGGGCTCCTTAAGGAATACATAATGATGGTTATTTGCAGGTGATTATACACAACTGAAAACATAGCCATGAATATTATATTACAATTCTGCAGACCCCAAATTACTATCACTGGCGCTTTATGGTTTTAAAATGTTTTGGGTTCTCCTATATACACACTTTCAGTATGTGATTACAAAGCCTCTAAGGTTGAGTGTGTGTGTGTGTGTGTGTGTTAGCTGGCCTGCTGCTCTGTTACGACCTGCCTGTGCAGACGGACCGTGAAGGCAGACGGATCGACCGTTTTCTCGTCAGCCGCAGCCGCAGCTACCAGCAGTCCTTGGCAACTCTTATTCACGAAGTACGTCTCCACCAGCTCCTAACCCAACTGTCGAGCTCCTCTTTATTAGGAATTTAAAAGTATTTCAAACGGACCCAATGAAACCTGTTGTCTTCCTCTTGTTGGTGATGTGCAGGTGAACATCCAGCCATCCGAGTGGCATCGTGCTCTCCTCCTCCCTCAGGCCTGGAGAGGTTTCATGAGCCGAGCTTTCCACGCTGTCCTACAGGTTTCTGCTTTGAGCAGCTGATGGATCAATGATATAAGAAATGATAAACACTGCATTAGGTTCTAGAGGGTTGACGTGACGCAGGGGTAGAGAGGGTGGTTGGAGCCCCGGCTGCCCCATGGCCCATGTCAAAGTGTCCCTGAGCAAGACACCTGACCCCTAATTAGTCCCCGGGCAAAAATGTAAAAAGCCATGGGTTAAAAAGGTAATATAAGTTGCTTTGGATAAAAGCTAAATAACCTGTAATGTAATATTGGCACTGATACTTCTGGATATTTGTTATATTGCTCAAAGTATGTGTTTATAACTCGTTTGACTGAATCATTTTGATTTTTACCTGAATGGTAAAATTAATCGTTGTGTTTTGTGTCCTTCTCCAGGGTCGACGTGCTGAATTAGAGATGCTGCAGAAACGAAGTGAAGAGGAGCCCCAGGAGCTCCAATACAAACAGCACTGTGCCTGGCTGTGGTGAGAGTCGCACACACACACACACACACACACACAATACTGATTACTGTCTAAAGACAGTTTGGCGGTAGTAGGTATTAAAGGGGGAAGACTATGAAAATTCCACTTTTTTATTGCTTCTACGCGTTAATCTGGCATGTCTAACGACTCAAAAACTCTGGGGGGGAAAAAAAACGACTCCTGCGATTCGTTGTGGTTGTTACGTCAGAAACGTCGTGCTGGAGTCACTGCGAATGAGCTTCCTTAACATTCTCTCGTCACTATAAAATCAGTCTCTTACATGGCCTTGGCCCACCCACCCCACTCAGTATTGATACGATATTTTTCCAACATCGGATACACCTGGAATAGCAATCTAGCAATTGGCTCATTAGCATTTAGAAGAACAGGCACTGAAAACAGGTCACTCTGTAGTGGGCTGTTTTAGACGGGGTAAAAAGGTTTTAAATGATCCTTGTGGTATTTTCACCAAATTATGATTACAGACATTTCATCAAGACCCCAAGGAACGATATCAACTTGTGGTCAAATGGGCATACGATCCGTCCTTTAAGGTGTTTTTTTTTTATCCTATTACCTATTGATACTTTGCTCTAAACTCAATTTCAGGATATTTTAGCTCAAAATGAGAAAGGGCAGGAATGTGTCTTATCACGTGGAAAAGGTTGCTAAAAACCTGTCAATTTACCTTGATTGATTGATATATATATATATATATATATATATATATATATATATATATATATAGATATAGATTGATTGATTGATTGATTGATTGATATATTGATATATATATCAATCAATCAATCTATATCTATATATATATATATATATATATATAGTTCGACATTATTTGTTATCAATACACGTTATTTTATGACAGGTAGCAGCATTGTCATGAAACGTATTGTTCAAAATACATTTTTGTTGTTGATTGACTCTTATTGAGTAAGATGATTGACTCTTGACTTAAAATCAGCAAAAGGGTTGAGCCAAAGTGGTCCCATGTGTTTCCATGTCATACTATATTGTAATTCTAGTCATTACAATTAAAAGGACATAAAGCGTTTTTTCTTGTCAGCTTTTTTTCATATAGCACCAAATTTAAAAATGAAATGGGGATTTCCTTCAAATGTATCATATTTAGACTGTAGCAATTTTGAAAACATTTTTTTATTTCATTGATGTCTTTTTCGCCTTCATTTGAAATGGCATGCTACTTAGGTCCCGAGGTGGGAGTCAAACCTGCAGCACTGGAGCACTTTTGCTTGCTCTTTGCTTATTTCAAAAGTACTTATCCCAAGATGCTCTGTATACATAGTAAAGTATATATATATATATATATATATATATATATAGTTTAAACATATACAATGAATGAATTATGCATGCACTCTTATCTAACCTAAAACTAAGACGTGACGCAGGGAGAAAGATACTGCCATTAGTAGAATGTTCCCAACCTCAGGGCACTGACCCCCACTAGAGGTCACCAAAGCCTCAGACAGAAGGCAAAAAGGTTTGAGAACACTGCTATATGTTATAAGCATTAAAAAAGCTGTTCTGAAAGGTCTGTCTATTTGACTATGATACAAAAATCAACATCAACTAAATTATGAATAGAAAATGAATAGAAGAGAACTCTTACTCAGACTGTTGTTCATTGCATTAGCAGAAGAAGGATTCTCCGTTAACACTGCGGTCCTCATCTCATTCTTTCATCCTTAACTTTTCGTCCCTTTCAGGGCCAGAGATCAGCTGGCCGACGTGATCAAAGCTGCTACAAAGTGAGTCCTGCTTTACACCATTTCTGCGCGTGCGTTTGCCACACACAGTGTGAGTGTTAACCGTAGTGGGGGCTCTGTGTTCCTCAGGGACAGTCCTGTAGTTCAGGGGAACTCCATCCTGGCTGTGAGCGGCCTGGCTGCTGTTCTGGCTAAATATGAGAGCAACCTGCCTGCTGATGGAGACGGCAGCCTCGGGGTAACAGTATTAAAATGTTGTGTATATATATATGTGTGATATATTCATCTTTGTGGGATACAATACAATATTTATAACTATGGTAGGTTTATTAAGTTCAGTTATAATTATTTTATGAATGCAAATTATGCATTCATAAGTTATTCAATTTAAATTTCACACTGTTATAGTTAATTGAAGCATTCATGTTATTAGTGATTACTGTATTGATGTATTTTCCATGTATTCACTCAATTTCTGAAGAAATCCTGTAGTACTGCGTGTGGGTTTAGCAGCCAGTAAATTGATCATAAGATACATCTCTCAATAATCAAAGATATGGCTGATATCTTTTATGATTGGCTATTATACTGATTTCTAGGTGTTGTCAGGCAAACTGACAAAACAACCTGTTACAATGTGTTATTAAATAATTAAGATATATTTGGTGATGATCTAAAGATCAAAAGCAGCAAAGAAAACAAATTAATTCAAATGAAGCCATACAAAATAAATGACAATCCTATCCTAGACTTTCAACTAGTCAGGTACAGGAATGATTTTGGTCTTCAGAACCGGTTCGTCCCCCAAACAACCATGTGATCAACATCATGATGGGGAAATTAATATTCCTCTTACTTCTCGCTGTAGGCTGGACCAGAGTTTGTCCCCTCAGCCAGCTGGTTGGCTATTGTTGTCAACACCATGCTCAGCATCAGCAGCAGCAGCTACAAAGCCAAAGGACAAGTCTTCCCATGGTTCCTACATGTAAGTCTTGTCTGGGCTTTTAGTTTGTTCTACTATGAACATATTGGCAGGTAGAGGAAAGGAAGTCTTTTTTTATTACAAAGCAAGTTTAGGGGCTATACAACCACTGTGAAAGCATGTAATTGATACGTGCAGTCACTTGGTTCATTCAGTGTTTTAATCCAGTTATCCATCTTACTCTGAAAATGGCAAAAAAAAGTCCACAAAATCTTTTTATGTGTGCAATGAAAGAAATATGAGAAACTAAAATATAGTCACAGTTTATGAAATGGTTATGTTTGACACAGACAAGTGATATCACTCAGGACATTTATCAGACTTCACACAGCTCAATCAGGGGACACCACAGGCTTTATACTACTCTTTTCACATGTGAGTCAGCTGAACACCCAATAATAGATAGGTTTGTGCACTAATGTGAATAGAAGCTTTGATTTAAGACAATGCGTTTGTGTTACTAATAAAGTGGTAATAAGTGTGAAATGACATGCAAGGAGCTTTAACGCCCTGCCTGATTCCTAACCATGCTGCCCCTCACCGCTCCCTCCTTCAATCGAAGCGGTCCTACTCTGGTGAGAACACAGCGAGTGCTATCGCTCGCTCCTGTGCCAGTCTGGCGTTGTCTCTGCTGGTCCCGGTGCTGGTGGTGTGGCAGAGGGACGGTCTGGGACAGGTCCTGTCAGCGCTGCAGGCCGGCCTGCCAGGCTCCCCCACCGCCGACGACTCCCAGGCTGTCCAGTTCCACTCCGGCCTGGCACTCGGCATGGTGCTTGCCAGTGTGCAACACCAACGCCTCAGGTATGATCTGAGTCTGTAGTAATGGCTCCACCGGATGCTTTAACCCATCACGTACTGTTCATCTGATCTGGTCTCTCCCTGTTCTCCAGTGATGTCCCTCTTCACAAGGACACTGATCTCCTCCTCAGCTCTCTGGATGCTCTGGAATGTTGCTCGTTCAACACCAACCTGGAATACAAGTGAGTGCTGAGTGCTTAACAGTACTAACCAATAGGGGATAACAATAGGCAGTATGGTTAACACCATTGAGTGGTTTCAAATACTGGTCAACATTGTCATGAAGAAAGTTTTCTAGTCTGGTCAATTCCCAGAATTGTGCTCTTATTTTTAAGATATTATTTTCCCCAAAGTCAAGTAGAGAAAGCCCATTCATGCCAGCTTCACTGGTCTTATAACCCAGTTTCCTTTTTTCCGCCCCCTTCCTCAGTACTGGCTGTGTTTTAGGTCTGGGTCTGGTTCTCGCAGCTCTCTGCAGCAGTGGACATACGGACCAACATGTCCACATCACCCTGACACTGGACAAACTACTGTCCAACCTGCAGGACAGCAGTGGGCAGGGACGCATGCAGCAGGAGGTACAAACCCTAGCTTTAGTGGTCCAGGATGAATCCCTCGCCCAAACATGGTGTCAGTATTTGGCAGTATATATGACTTATTACTTATGAGGTTCAACGTTATCCATAGAAAACCTTTATTAGAACAGGAATTTTAACCTATTAATACATTTTTCTTATTTAATTATTTTACTTTGACTGTGCAGGTTTTGGCGTACTCTGTTGCCTGTATAGGCGTCTCGGCCTTTAATGGAGGACTTATTGATGCTGACAAGGCTGAGGAGGTCATGAACACTCTGCGCGCCCTGACTGAGGAGAGCCAGCAGGTCAGCAACAACTGTTTAGGACTTCACCTCAACTAAAGCGCCTACATCTATTCCTTCCTTCTAGAGCGACCGACTTGCACAGATGAGATATATAATCCCTGTAGAAGAAGAGAGCAGCTGCTCAATCCGGTGTTTTCTGACTGCGAAGCCTGGTGTTTGAGTTGTAGGTACTGACTCTGGTCCAGTGTGCTGGAGGTCTGACGGAGCCAATAGAAGCGCATCATCTGCAATGAGTACACACGAAGTTCGGAGAATTAAGTATTGCCTGTGTTGGAATAGCTACACTGCTTATTATAAGGGCAAGTTAACATACAATCTGGTAATTAATCAATTAGCAATTATAACATGGGAGGCCAGAGTAGACTCATGAAACCAATATCAAGTAATCAAGCTCTGTTGAAAGGTGGTTGTGTGTTTCTATAGAAAAAATTGCATTGAATATTTTGTACAAAGCTCCATTCTGAGGAATCCACAGTCTAACGCCTGGTTTCTATGCTGTTGGGATGCTTCTGATCAGACCCCAGGCTTCTCCCTGGCTCTGGGGCTGGTGGTCCACGGCCTGTCGATGTCAGGCCATGGTAAAGCAGAGGACATCCATCATCGTCTGCTGGCAGCTTGGATCAAGATCTTATTGGCCGAGGTCCTACATTTACATTAACTCTCCTATCTGCAACTGCAATATATAATGTATTTATACACCTCTCATCTTTACAAACAGATTCTGCATTCACATATAGGTAATAGATCTCCATTTAGAGAGAGACAAATCTGAAGTTTACATTTCAAACTATTCACTGCTCACAGTAATAAAAGTATTGTAACATCTACAATTATGTACAAGCTTTAATTATTATTACACCATTAAGAGCATGTTGTGTGTTCAGTCGAGGACTTGTCTTCATGTTTCAGGGTTGTCCTACTATGCAGCGCCTGGCCGCCGCAAATGGCCTGGTGGCTTTAGTCGGATCTGAGAGTTCTCTCATCCAGGTAAGCAATTGCTTACTGGAGGTCCGTATCCCTATGAAGAAGTCCCCTGATGGCAGGGGGACCCAATGAAACTGTGACTTGTTTGTACACATACTTTTTAATATTTAATCCAATAAGTCAAGTATCACAAATAAATCCTTAAATTGATATACTGAGCATGTGGAATTAAATTATGTGGAATATACCTGAACTAGTTGGCAATCAGGGCTAATTGATTCCACTTTCTAAATATTGGGAGTGAACTATTTACACTTCTAAATAACTTCTCTAATGAGGCATTGCATGTTTCTTTCTTTCAGCAAACAAGTGAGCTGGAGCTTTCCTCCCAGAAACGGAGCAGGCTGAATGAGGTTATTCGAGCCATCACACAGGTATGTCACACCACAGATTTTATTGTTGTTATTGTTTTCACCAGTGACAATGTTCCCCGTCTTTTAGCATTTAGCATTTTAGCATAGCATTATTGTCCCTACTCCAACATGTTTCACACTGTCAGACACCAAAAATGCATCGTCACTGTTTCAGCACAGTATTTCAAAATGAAGTTTCTGTTATTACAGATTTTTTCACTTGCTCTGATTGTATTATGTAATAGCCGTATTGGTTCTCTTTTGCAGATCATAACATCCTCAGGAGCCATTGGTTTGCAGTCCAACAGTGCTTGTTTGGTTGGTCATTTGCATTTGGCCCATGTATCCACCAGTCACAGTCATACAGCAGGTAAGAATGGAGCAGTGCACCTGTGAACCTCCATGTTCTCACAATTCACCAGGATTCTAGGTCGGTGGTATATGTCTTTGTCTTTATTCATCTCCTTGTTCTCCTCTCATGTTGTCAGTCCCTCAGGATTTCAGTTACCTCCCAGAGAAAAGCCTCATCCGATCCATCGTTGACTTCATCTCAGAGGCAGGGAAAAAAGGTTAGATTACATATTTAACTATGTTATTTTCTTCAACATATCACACACTTCTACATAAGGTATGAAAACACTAATTAAACATGAATTGCCTGCAAATGCTTGAATTTCACTTGTACCTCTCTTCTTGTGGACCCAGGTCCAGAGTTTGCTCATCCAGCTCTGGTTAAATCGGTTCTGACCCCACTGGCATCGGTTGGAGCCAGCTTCCAGTACCCCCCCGTCAACTGGAGTGCTGTCTTATCTCCTCTGATGAGGCTCAGCTTCGGTGAGGGCTCTCACACACGTGTCTCTTTGTGCCTCGGGGTTAGTCCAGGCTCAGCATCTCTTTTGTCATTGACAGGAGAGGATGTTCAGCATCAGTGTGTGCGGCTGGCAGCGTGCCAGGTTCAGTCCTCTCAGAGTGCCTCTCTCTTTCTGGGCCCCTGGCTGTCCCCGCCCCTTGTGCACAGTCTCAGCGTAAGTTCCTCTTGAGTAGTGAGTGAAATATGTTCACAGCATGGCAAGTGTTGATTAGCGAATGAAGGCCTCAGCCTAGCCCAGACAAGGGCTGACTGACATATATTGGCCTCTTGTGATTTATCGAGTTGAAAGATTTTTTTTTTTTATTTGGGGCCATGGGCGTAACTTTGTGCTCCGTCTTGACAACCACAGACTTGCTTAATCGATGCTGGATTTTAGCACATGTTTGTGATGCAAACTCATTTCAGTTGCAGTCTCAGCTTTTTGTTAAGGATAGATTTGACTCAATATTCATAATCTAAAAAGTAAACATTATGTACAAATTTGTATGACAATTAGTGAGTAATTTATCATATTCGTAAATGCATTGTACGGCTCACAAATGCCAACTAGTTTGAGCAAATGTGAATTAATTTTACAATTTTAAATGTATCCTAACTTTGTGTACTTGACAGAGTGCTGTATATTACTCATAATACAGTAAACGTGACTTTGGAGGATTTCTATTTCTCTTCCAGTACCAGACTCGGGCTTTGCTGTTTGAGAGTGTTGGCTTGTGGATGAAGCATGTTTCTGAAGATAAGCTCCAGGTCCACTTGGAGAGTCTGGGTCTGCAGCAGTTCCAGGAGGATCTCCGACCCCAGCGACTGGCCCTGTGCCGTTCCCTGCTGCAGGGCCTCGCCGTGGCCATGGCTCTCCAAAGCCCCCCCAATAACTGCTGGACCATCCTCTGCTCCACCACTGAGAAGATCTTCACCCTGCTGCCCAACAACATCCAGGTGCTGAAATTAAACACACTGCTTTGCCTTTAGACCAGTGGTCCCCAACCTTTTTTACCTCACGGACCGTTTTCATGTCAGACAATATTTCGCGGACCGGTTGAGAAGGTCCGACATTTTTCAGAAAAAAAAAAAAACCTTTCTGTGGTGCGGCCCAGTACCAAACGGCCCACGGACCGGTACCGGTCCGCGGCCTGGTGGTTGGGGACCACTGCTTTAGACGACCGGCAATAGGAAAACAGAGCCGAAAGCAGGTGCTAAAGTCTAGTTTTCTTTCAGCCCACATGAATTACAATATGCTGATATTACAGCTGCTTTCACTCTTCAGCTGACATTTGCCCTTTTAATCCTCATTTGACAATATAAGTTTACAACATATAACTATGAGACTAAATTGTTTAAAATTGAAAAATAGTTGGTGTATGGTCTGGTAAATAATTTTACCAGACCATACACCACAATATCTATGAATATTTATTTTGCTGACGATACATTCATTTGTTTTAGGATAATGAAGTGGATTTGTACGTGGGAATCAGCAAATGTTTGTCTGAGATGTCTGATGCAGAGATTGAAAGAGTCACACGGGTCCAGGAGGTACAGTATGGTGTGACAAAGTAAATGGTATATTGTAAGAAAAGAGAAGTGCTTGTATCATGTGCAAACATGGTTACAAATGGTTTGGCGCATGGCTTCTGGCTGAACAACAGAGTGGATTTTGAATGATAGCTCTTTCTGGATTATTGATTGTGGTGTAAACTCGACATACCGACTACATGTATTGTGAATCTGTTATCTAGCAGACATTTCTGTTAATCCTGATTTTGTTGTCAATGTAATCCTTATAGTGTGTTAGTTACAGAACTAACTAAACTAACTAACTAAAAGTCAGTACATGGTTAGCTTTGCTTAGCATAAGGGCTGTAAGCAGAGGGAAAGAACGAGCCTTGCTCGATCCAAAGTTAAGATACACCTCAGAAGCTCACTAATAAAATACGATTTTCTAATCTGTAAACAAATTGTAATTTGTGTGGTTAGTGGAGCCTTTATCAGTTGAAAATAGCATTGAAAAAAGACTGAAATTCTGATGGATGCATTTATGTTAGTAGAATAACATGGCATTCCAGATAACAAGTGGTGCATGCTAGCACCTGCTGTTAACCTACAATTATTAGTGACCATGTAAAAAAACAAATGTTGAACACTCTGTCCTGTTTAGACTCAGATGGAGAAGACCTGCTTCGTCCTCGCTTACTTGACCTCCCAGGGCCGAGTGCCCCTCCTGGGGCTCAATGACGTCATTGCCGGTGTGCTTCGTGGTTGGCCAAGCCGCAGAGTTGGCTGGCTCCTCCTGCAGACTTTTTACCAGTGTCGCCTGGCCACCAGCCCCAATACTGGTTAGAAGAATCTCTGGTGCATTCACGTCAAGCAGGACATATGTTAATGTCCGCATGTCTTTTGAGAGGATTTGTTCTTCGTCATAGGTGTTTCAAAAAGAATGGATTGGCTGCTGGAGCTGATGGGACACATCCGAAATGTTGCCTACGGTGCAACATCCGTCACAATTGGAGACACCAAACTGGTATGTGTTTTCTGATTCATGGTGGAAGACTTGAGATAGTTCTAGAGATGCCGGTGTGTTGGTGTCACATACCGCAGACGATCCTCCAGCAAGTAGGTAAGAGTCATTCCTAAGACTATAACTCCACTCTGTTACCCAAATAAAAAAAACAAATGTACAATTAATTTGCTGCTGTTAGAATGGTCTTATTTTACACATCCTTGTCAAAAGTGACACCTACAGTGCATTACCCACAACACAACCTGATTATGCCAGTAGTGGCTTATGTATTCTGAAACCTATGACTGACACAGACAGACTTTACACAGCTCCCTCCGGACACTCATTTGAACATAGATTTCCCTTTTTTTTCCGGCAGGCCACAGACTTCCTGTTCCAGGTCTTTGCTGCTGCCGTAGTTTCCTGGGGTGACCACTCCATGCCCCTCCTGTTCGGCATCAGGGCCCAGTGGTTCCCATGGCAATCCGACTCAAAGCCCCAAACTGTGCGACATGGTCTGTACGGTGAGGAGTCGCTCACGGAGCGCGCCCTGCCACAGTGCCTGCTGGGTATGTCCTGCAGCCTGGCTCTACTCCTGGCCAAAGAGCCTTGGAGCAGCCAGACGCACAAGGTTAGTGAGTCTCATATTCTGATTTTTTTTTAAAGAATCACTACGATGAACAAAATGATTACAGTCTGAGCATGTCTTTGTGTGTCTCAGTTCATAGAGTGGCTTTTCACCATCATAGAAGGTCCTGATCAGACTCTGTCAGCCACAACTGTCAGCACAGCCGGAGGTAAGCAGTGCAAACATCACAGCAAATGTATTATCTATCTATATTCTCAATGTATTATTATGTGATACAAAATGTTGAGCTCTTCAAATGACACCGGCTATGGCCATGTTGATTTAAGTCTGTGATGCTCAAAACTGGGCAGTTTAAAGAGATGGCGATTCCCACAGTGGCCAACTGTGGTGTCCCTGAAAGCATTTCGCCCATGTAGAGCAGGGGACATCAACGACATTTGTCCAATCAATGACAATGAAAATATTCATTGAGAATTTATTCCCATTCTTACACGAGGATATGGCACAATCATTAGTTTCCATCCGAATTGTTTAAGATGGTGCTTCATCATAGACAAATACAAAGTGCTGCTTAGCTGATGGAAGGCTGTTTGTGGCCGCCAGTGAATGGGCCATTGTCAATATTAACAGACTGACATTATATGAGAGATGTATGTAAAACTTTTGACTAGAGCCTCTAAAAATCATTACATATGCAGGTCTTAAAATATTGTGTGGAAGTGAACAGATGTGTGTATATAATGGCCATTAACAATATCAAATTTTCAATACGTAACAAAATAAGTGTCAATAATAATACGGCATATATAAAATAATTGAAGAGACACTGGATTATCTACACCATATTTTATACGTGTATCGTTAACATGATATGCAATGCAGTGACCGCACACATCCATAGAGAGGGATTTTAGTCCGGTGCTGGACAACAATGAAAATATACTTATTCTGTAAAGGTTTATCTGATGCTTGTTGTTTCAGCTGCCCTTTTGGCCCTGAAGTCATCCGCTGAGTTCAAGAAGAAAGCTGTATGGACCAGAGCATACGGGTGGTAGCCCAGAAGAGCTTTTACAAACTGTCGCCGTGGCAACGCATGCAGGTGTTCTTCACAAAAATGTGTCTGGAACACCTTTCGTTCCTCAGACTGCTGGACACGGCGCTGGATGTGTGAGGCTCATCCAGCAGAAAGGACTTCATCGCAACGTCTAGAGGGTCATGTTCCAGCAGCACATCATTAAAAGTTCCAATATTTTAGGATGTTAAGTTCGAGTTCTTCTAAAGAAAATACAGATTGTAATGATTGAGATGACATCAAACTCACATTATTTAAAAAAAACAAAACTATTTGCTGATGAACTTCAGGGGAATTACCTGAGAGACTTCTATACATTCAGTCTCAGGTGTCATTTCCTCTTTAACTTCTTGTTCCATTTCTCAAGGTGGTGTTTTCTCTCCTTCAGCAGTTGCCAGACGGTCACTGAGGCCCCTTAACCGAACCACACAACATCACTGTTAAAGTCAGAAAAACATTGTGTTTATAGAACAAATCCAACAGCTGCAAAATAGATTGCCTCCAAAGAAATAATATCTACCGTAAGTGCAAGACTATTTACAAAGAGTGACCTGGTATAAAAAAAGGTTACTCACGATGAAGCCAAGACTCAAATACAGCTGATTAAGCTTTTGTAAACTTTATCGTACAGCAACAAGCAAATTCTTCAGTCCTAATACAGCTTGACTTACCTGCAATTGAGTAACTTCTTTATCGAGGACACACTGGTCCTGGTACTTTCAAAAGATACATTCTCTATATTTACAGTCAGGTCCATAAATATTTAGACATTGACTCAGTTTTCATTATGGCTCTGGCATGGCTCTGTACACAGCTACAATGGATTTGAAAGGAAACAATCAAGAGTGGAGACTTTCAGCTTCAATTCAATGGTGTAGGAATTATAAGGTCTCCTCTTTTGAAGGGATCAGAAGTATTTGACAATTGGCTGGTGTGTGTCCATATATTAAAAGTGACAATTTGATTTATTATATCACTTTGTCCAATTATATGTATAACGTGTTAGAATTCCTATACTGTTATGCTTATTTAAACGTAAATATCCTCTAATTGAAGCTGTAAGTATTCTCTCAAAACTTGATTGTATTCACCACCACAATATATGTTAAATAAAACAGTCAAAATGATGAAAATTGTGTCTGTACCTCCTTTCTAAACGTGATATGAGGTTATTAGAACAAATGGAAGTCTATTAGCCTAGCTTAGCATAAGTTCTGGAAGCAGGGGGAAAAGCAATGCTGTATCTCTAATGTGTACACCAGCTGAGGTTTGTCATGAGGAGTGAGATTAGTTTGGCTTATACCCAAAGAGAGGGCAGTGATAATGGCCACACCTTAGTTATAGTTGGATTCCTAATTTTACCTCTGGCTATAGCTTAGGTTTGCAGGTTTGAGCGCACGGGTTTATGGTGCCAAACCTGACTAGCAGCAAACTGTTAAATAGTTCCAACGTGTCACACCCTGGAATGCTCTCGAAACAGGTATTGGAAATAAAACACCTCTTTAATGAAACGTCACAGAAAAGACAAAAAGACCCCTCATCCAACTCTGCGGGGCTGCTGTATGAGCACAGAAGTGGGGCGGCACCCACACTGTTTTTGCAATAAACGAAAGGGTGTGTATCTGGCCTTCCATCATGATAAAAGATGGAATTTCCAAAGTAATAACTTCCTATGATTATAATAACTGCCGGTGAGTGTTTTAGTATCAGATATTCCTTCACTGTCCTCTCCAATGCACCCTGAACATCTAACATCTCACCAAGAGCCAGAACAGGCAGGTACACCATCAGGAGCAATGGGGGGCGAGCGGGTGGCGACGCTGTAGAGTTCAAACAGGAACTGCTTGGTGTTGTTGGCTCCACGTAAGGCAGGACCTGGTATATAGTGACAACTGAGGAGGGAGAGGAACACATTCCTTTATATGTCTGTAGGTAAAGCCCTGATCCAGACCCCGCCAGGAGTTGCCAAAGACTTCAAATAATGTTATTCTTTGAGTATAGATTGTTATTTTAGATAGTGTTTTCTTAAATGTCACATGATAAAGAAATGCCTGTTAAGAATGCAAATTGTTAAAAAAATAAAATCAATGCATAAGAACAGGTAATTGGAACCTTCTACAAAACAACAGGAAACCTCTAAATGGCTTGTTTTACACAAAGGGATGTTTTGCGAGTACACAGAAAGTGAGGAGTCCGTAACAACACTGCCTGCGGTCACGTGTTCTTTCCCAACACACTTCCTGACATGTTGTTATCAGCTATGCCTTGCCAACTCATTTCCTGTACACTTCCACCACTTCCCTTGTACGAAAACCCTTCTTGACACATTGGAACAGTGTTGCAATATAGCTGATGATCCTAAATGTAGTGCAATGCAGTTGAATTTATTTCAGGCCTTTTGGGTCAAAATGCCAGTTTCATTACTTGATAGCAGATATGAAGTGTATAAAACACGTAGTCACCTTCAGTGGCCACTGACAGGATGTACAAGGGGATGCAGAGTGTGTAGCGGATCCACACCATGGGGATGGAGGGTTTGCCCATTACACACAGCAGCTCATGAGGGTACCTGTCATCACACAACGGCACAGTATTACACAATAACCGACAGGTGATTTGTGAGTACTGTCTGATCCAGACACTCACGTCACACTCATATTCGTAATGTCACAGTCTAGGGGAAGGATCGTATTCCTTTTTCTCCTGTTGGGCTGTTTATGAGCAAAAGGATGTAGGACTGCCAGGCAGACCATAAAAACTGAGTTAAACATAATGGTTAAAATGTGATGAACTGTGATGATTAAAGATGTATTATATTATTAAAGTGTGCTAGATATTAGATGCTGATGATATTATGTATGTTTTGTTATTTTTACAAGAAAAAGCTTTAAGCCAATGGTGTAATCATTGAATGTATTGAAGAATTAAGTCAATCGAGATCAGGGCATTGAGGGATTTCAGATTTGTCCATCAGATAAAACCAGGGGAGAGAGTCATGGAATGCCTTGAAGCAGAAAGGCATTCACGAGGAAGGACAACTGGGAGGAGCTGGGTTTGAACGTGCAGCCAATCACATAGAACTGCAGCACAAGGGACTGCGATATTGGAAAAGCTGAGCTGGAGAAGGAACAGGCAGAAGCTTGTGAACCAATATTGATGGTCATTTGAGACAGGACCAAGGGGCTTCTCTATTTTGTGAAATATAATATTCCTACCGTATTTCACTTTGTAATTGTATTGCTTCGGTTATTAAATTCTTTATCATTTTTAAACTCGAGCCAGTTGACTCTTTTTGACTTCTCATATCAGAAGGGGAGAGGGTAATAGTAGCATTCCTTGATCAGAAGTTTCAGAACTCCACAGTAACAAAGTGCTTGAAGCGGTCAAAAGACTTGCAAGCGCAATACATGAACATTGCATTTACAACGCCAAAACATTTTTGGCAAATAGGATGTTGAGAAACGGCATCTCAACATACTTCATTGCTTCAGTATAATGTTACTAATGTTACAGAATATTGACTATGTTCTGTGCCAATTTTCTCAAAAAACAATCTGCATGACGCCCCATATTGTCTTTGTGGTTTGTGAAACAATCTTTTAAGGCATCGAGCCTCATTACACAAATCGTATCGAATGTAATTTAAACCAGTCAGAGACTCTTGATCTGTTGTTTGGATCCAGCATCAATACTGCTGAAGGAGAATATGCAGTTAAAAATAAAAGCAGCCAAGAATTGTCAGGAAGTTTCAAAGGATATCATAAAACAAAAAAAGTTTAATAGAATTGATGAGCAGCCAGCATCAATTCATGGCTTGCATTTTAAACAGATGCAATCACCTCAGATTGGCCACTTTGTCATAAGATTTTAATATTGTAATAATTGGCAGCCCAACAAATTAAATATAAAATTACTAATAAAAATCAATGGGAAACAGGATGATGAGAAAAAGAGAATATTCCACTTAACTAGAAAGCATAAATTAATTTATCCCTTACGGGCCTCTCCTGGGGGTCGCGACCCGGTGAGCCGACAGTGGGGTCACGGCTTCATCACCAACCCGAACGCAGACCCACGACGGAAAAAAACTAACAAAAGTGAAACCAGCCTTAGGACTTTCCATGCGTTGTGTTCGAACCGCGCAGACCGTGAGATGGTGCAAACTGAAAAAATGGTTGGAAAAACTTCCTGTTAAATGTGGAAATATATGTTTTTGCACTGTTTGAACCACTTAAATTGTATAATTTGAAGTAAATTTACTTGAAAATAGCTTGTAATGTAATAAAATTGTTAAGTGTTACTAAAAAATGTGTTCGGACGGAGGGGTGCGGTTGGGGGGGAAAACAAACGTGTAAATAAAACCTGGCAGAAGTGCAGCTCCTGCATTCCTGGAACAGCTCAAATATGCAGCATAATCCTAAACAGGATGGATCAAGTGAAATGAAGACATGCTTACCGTAGGAGGTCCAGAATGTTCCACAAGAAGAGCTGTGCACACACCACTGGTTTACACTCGATCTCCAGCATGATGACCATGATCAGCAGGCAGTTCTTCTCCATAACCTAAAACAAGATCCCAGCAATCCACCCACCGCTTCAAATGGATGTGAAACTCTTGAATAAACATTTTAGCATATTAGGAAATCCACATTTTTACGTTTTATACGCACTTGGATGAAGCGAGGGAGGAGTCTGGCTTTCTCAATCCCATCTGCTATATGGAAAAGCTCCAGGATGGAGAGCAGCTGGCACAGAGTCATCACAACGCCAACAGAGTAAAATGTGTCTGCTAGGGCATCTACCAAGTGAAAAAAATCAAATTGCATCATACAAACAGGTTTTTGTGACAATTAGCGTATTCCTGCTCTGGAGTTAAAAGCAATCGTGAAAGTTGGTCTCTCATGATGAGCTCAGACATCTAAAGATCTACATTTCACAGTATTGTATCCTTTTTTGTTTATCCCTTTTATTTGTATAAACCTTACCTTGACCAAATGTGAGAAACCTGGCTATTGTATTCGCCAGGATCCACGTGTGTCCACAGAACTGGAACAGGTTATACGAGAAAATGTAGGCAAGTCTGAAACTGAGCCTGTAAGAGAGAGAAAATAAAAAGGATTTATTATTGCTTCACACTGTACTTGTGAAACCATCTAATGTCAGGCGCTAACAGTGACAGTGACACCTACCAAGCAGTGACTAATTCATATTCTCACACCATGTCACAGCTGCACATTGGAGCCGGGGATCGAACCACTGATCTGATTGAAGGACGACCTGCACTCACTGATCCAGTCGCCCTGTGGTTACACTTTGACTGAAGGTAACACCACCACATGTGTTGTTAGCACCTTTTTTTTTAATGTAGGTTAAACAAATGCACCACCCCTGCTAATAGACGTCATGCTAAGCTAGGCTAACAGTCTACGGGCTTTTCCTAATGCTAGGACATGAAATTGAGCAAACAAAAGTTAGTAGGTTTTGTTTCTAATACTTCAATGTTTTAACTTAAGCACAATTTTGTGTGTAGACATTCTATTTTTCTGGTATTCAGATGATTGCATTGATACTTTTACTTAAAGAGGATTTGCCAACTTATTCACTGCAAGGAAATGAAAGAGGTTTTGTCTCTCTTTTTATCTATTTAAAAATGATTGTGGCTGACATGTTAGAAAACTAGTATTTATGGAGTAAGAGTCATGTTTATTTTTAACTGACATATCATATATATATGCCACATATATGTCCAATATTCTTGCTTCTTTAAGACTGCTTTTGGTCTTAATCAACTCCTTACAGAAGGTGAACCAAAATCTAATACTGCAGATTATATCTTCTTGGATATCGAGTCAGATACATTCAAACTATAGCAATCTCATATGATGTAGCTGTTGAATGCTTGAAAAAAGCTTTGTATACGACTTCTGTCTGACATCCCTCAAAACGCCCTGTAGAAGCAGAACAATCCTTCCGCAGGCAGAAGTCAGACACTGCTGTTGAAGTCTCTCCATAGCCACTTACATTCTCCCTCCGAGGTCTCCTTTTGCCTCTTTCGTTTCAGGTACAGCAAGAAGTTTCTGCTCATAGTCCCAGGATCATGTTGTGGTGCACTTTGTGGCTCCCTGCACGAGTTTCCTCCCAGTTCATAGAGACCCGCCTCTTTTGTGATCGTCCCTCACAACTGGTAGCCGAAGAAATGCTGCAACATCAGTGTTTCTGTCGTTCGTTGTCAGGCGGATGTTTCCAGCTATTACTTTACGCAAAGTACGTGGAATGTCGACTGCGAGTCCGACGTTGGATTGTCCCAGTCCCCTAAAAGAAGACTAATGTGGCTCAGCACACGCAGGCAAGATAAATAAAATAGTATGCACTGCCCTCTAGTGGTGGAAAGAACAAGTACATTCTGTAGAGGTCGGAATTAAAGTCATAGACAGGTAGTCTTTGGTGATGAGTTTGTAAACATAACATATGTGTTATATGTCATCCCTTAGTGTGTGTGTTAGAAGGGTTATAGAGGGTCACAGGGGAGAGATATCACATGTCTGCTCTGGTTAACTGAATGGATGCTAATGTACCTTTCATACATTGAGATAATAAAATATAAATAACACAAGTAAAGAATCGGTTTCTCACACAGGTCCATTAATTTTCCCTTCAATTTTGTATACTGTAATGCACTTTATAATGTGCCTTTAAGAGATAGGAAGCCAAAGACAAATAGAAATGCTATATAGATATAGATATACTATAGTCTACATGATATTGACTTATCCATATGAGGCGGTTTCTAACACTCATAAAAGGAGATGGTAACGATCAGGTGCATTATCGATCAGGTGCATTCTCTCTACTTTTTATCAGAGGGCGGCTCTTCTGTTGAATAGAAGTCTTGGGAAAATTATACTACTCAGTGAACACTGTAAACCTCCAACCTTGTAGTTGACAGGTCGGCATCTGCAGTGGTTATGGTCACTTTCACTGACAAGGTAAAAAAAATCTGATTTACAATTGAGGGTATTTAATACTTTCTACCATCACGCTTGAGGTGGCGGAAGTAGAACTCAATCTCAGATGTAGCAAAAATTAAAGACTTTATTTGAATAATACAGAATGCCTTGGGGCAAAACGCAGACCAGGAACAACCAAAAACTCACCGACATGAACAAGACACTCAGACAACTCAGGAAATCATTCAAACAACTCAATGAACCAACAAGAGAAAGCTGTGGTTTAAATACACTGGGAAGGTGGAGGTGAAGGTAATTGGAAACAATCAGGATCACAGCAGACAATCACAGGGCCCGACAGGGCAGGAAGTGAAGCTAACCCAGGTATAACGAGCGGCAGGAAACTACAAAATAAAACAGGAAATAAACCCACACCGTGACATTTACGGTCATTGTAAAGGGCAGAGTTTTTTTGGCAGAGTTTTTTTGACAATGACAAAATGTTAAATTTCATCAATAGATTAATAAATATATTCTTATTTCGTGTGTTTTTTCTCCATCTTTAATTATTGATGTTTTAAATGTGTACATTTTATTATGACTGTCTGAAAACACGTGTGCCGTCTTCTTAGTTTATCTTTCTGTACGCCTCCATGGTTTCACTGGTTATCCTATTTTTGACCACCGAATGCTGAATTACGGAAAGGTTTCATAAAGGCCTAAAAATGTCTACCAGAAATCCCTCAAACACATAATTTGACAATAGGACACAACTAAACCCTCAGGAAGTCAGCAAGGACCTCGATGTTTGTAACTTTGCCATCTCATGCCAGCCATGTGGCCGTCTTTGGATTCAATGGGCTGACTTCTTTCTGTTTGAAATAATGCACCATTACCGGTACTCTCCAGAGCCACTGAAGGGAGTAACTTTGTTCACAGGTGGAAAGGTGCCTGATGATATCCCAATGAAGTCATTGACTTGTTGCTTTGCTGTGGGACAGTGTATTGCACTACTGCTCCAGGCTTTAAACACAATATTCCATGTTAATCATATCTTTTGTATGTTTGCTGCTATGGAGATCCAAAGCAGCAAACAGTCCTCTACTCGTTATGTCACCTTATCTTAACCCTTCTTGACTAATGGTACAACAAGATTGATAGCCTGCTTTTTTAATCGGGACTCCAGAAGTAACTGTAGCTCCTCAAGACCTGGAGTCACCGGGCAGTCTCACTAAAATAGTACTCTAAATATATCCTGTTTGTGTGGCCGGGTATTCAGTAATTCAGCTCCAGCCAATGTCTGGAGCAACTACCAAGGTGCTCAAACTGTTCGGGCCGACACACAGCTTTCAACCAAATTTCAACCAAATCTGGAAGTGAAAAAAGCCTCAAAACAAGTGTCCTTTAAAAAAGGTGATTTTCCAAACCACTTTGGCCTTGGGCTTAAATTTATCTGAGGACGGCAATCAGTCAAATTGAACGTCACACATTTATATATTTATCCGGCAATTAGCTAAATCACTTCATAGACCTCTGTGGCCACAGCTCTGCTGAGACATGCAGACAGGCGGAGAGGACGTGCCGGGGAAGCAGATATTTTAGGATATTTACAGGATACATTCCATTTTTAAAAAACACATCCCATGTATCTTCTTCAGTTTGGATTCTGTTGACGTATACACAGCTTTGAAACACGTTAATGTTCACCAAACATTAACGTGTCATTTTTTGTATTTGAGATCATTTTGTATTAACGTGGCGTGGCTGAATTAACCTGCGTAACCCTCGCCAGGTTGATTAAATGTCACTCCTGGTGGGAACAGCGATGTAGGGTCAGGTGTAAGTCTTGCAGGGGACCATCATGGAGGTGACTGTTTCAACACTCAGAATGTGGGCCCCGTTATCTCCACAAGCAAATTCTTAGATCAAGACAAAAAAGATGAAAACACTAAGTTGTGGGTCCCACTGGGTTGCAGTTGTTTCCCAAATAAAATATTTTATTTTATTTTTCAAAATGTTCATAACTGGCATCACAAGTGTGTTCAGAACAAGTTGGACCACCAAATACCTGCAGCTTTAATCCAATAGATTGCACACTGGATACGGCTGGATAACATCTTTGACACAAGGAGAGCAGAGTTTCCCCCAGTTAAGCTCAGGGTCATCTCTGGTTTCTCACAGTATCTGTTGCATTTACAGTGCTGGCAGGGGGTGACAGGGAGATGTTCTTGCCTACCAACAGCAGACGCCCCGCTGCCCTTCCCTCGCTGACTGGTGGTAAGTTCAGGGTCCTTGCCAGCCAACCATTAGCATTCAATTTCCATTTATTATTTTCAATTGGACTGGACTCCCCGATGCTCTCTGAGCCCTGCAGGGAAAGTTTATTTGCGTGTCTACAGAGGTTCTACAAGCTTCTGTATTGCTTTACTCTTAAGACTAAGACTGATAACTTTACCAGAGGGTGTTGAATTGGAAGAGTAGGTATCTAAGACTGCATTAAGACGCGCACTGCAAGGCTGTGTTGTTCATATAGCTGTTCACAGGGAGTATAACCAAGCCATAGGTCCACATAAAGAGGAGGCCAGTGTTTGCGGCTCCCGCAAAACCCTAAATGGCCTACTTATTTATACACAATCCATCATATTTTAAACCTAACCAAGTAGTTTTGTTGCATACCTGCGATTTATAAATGCCCACAAGTGGTTAATAAACTCCAACGATGATAGGCATGCAGAAATGTTATTATGAAATTTATTTTTGGTTTAGAGATGTTGAGATTTGACGTGCAATTCATTCCTCTTATTCTGGCAGCTGGCTCAAGTCTCTTCTGGGCTTCTTTGAAGACGACTTTTCTCATTTGAAGATAACTATTCTTATAATGCAGAATGGAAAACATACTTATGAATACTCCATTTCTTTCTTTAAATGGTGTCAGAAATCAAATATTTCATTAATTTGATATTTAAGTAAAGTCAGTGAATGTATACAGCTCATTTTGGGACTACTTGATATTAACATTTAAATAAATAAAACATTTTGTATTAGGGATCATATTTAATGAACTAATTTGGTAGGGGCGACCTCACAGCGACCCCTACCGGTCTGTGAACCCAATTTTGAGAACCATGTGGCCTGGAGACAGTTGGTCAGTGATGTCTCTGGTCCTTTTTAGATACTCGGCTTTCGGCTTCACATCGCGGTGAGCTGGAATGTGTGCGGCGCTGTCATCACAGTGTTGTCTCGAACTGCCTCGGAGCGTTGTGCGCCGCGCAATCTCTCCTTAAATGTCCGAGGAATCCTGGAAGTGCTCCGTCTCTGCCGTTTCCTTCTGACAACACATGTAAAGTCAAACCTCCCGGTTGAGCTATGAAGACAGAGCAAACCTGTGTGGAGACGCCGGCGACTCTACGGGAGCTCAAAGACGTGCTCCAAAAAGAGGCGCACAGAGGAGAGGAGGAGGACCCAGACAAAAAAGACAAAAGCAATTACGTCCATTTGGAATTAATGGACGTGGACTTATGCGGGACAAACCCGGAGAAGGACTCTGGCTTTGGCCAAAAGAAAGACCAAATGCCTGCCTTCATCAACGGCAGCAACGCCGGAGCTCTGCGCGAAACGGAAGCGGCCAAGCAGGTGGCGATTAAAACCAATACTGAAACTAAAACACACAATGTTTCTGGAGTTGTAAAATATGTAGAGAATGTCAAGGAGGGTCCACCTGATCCATCAAATCTCCCTTGTCTTAACGCAAAGTCGGAGGGTTGCTTCAAATCAGGAGTCGAGGGTGAGCGCGCAATGACGCAGTCGGAGGTGTCCAAAAGAAAAGACAACAAAAACCCTCCACAAGGTGAGGGATTATACAGTATTGATAACTATTTGAGCGGAAGAAGTGATGAGGATAGTGAAGAAGAGGATGATGACATTAGTTCGGTGATTTGCGACGACTGCGTCTCGTGCGTAACGGAGGATGAGTCCCATTATATTACCACGCACGAGATCCAGCTCTTGGAGCTCTCTGATCACGAGCAGGACTTCGATCTCGGTGGCGGCTCCTCCACCAGCTGGGACATCGAGGACGACAACCAGGTGTACTCGTTTGTCGACTACGCCTCGTGTAATGGTGGTGGGACGGCGGGGGAGAGAGGGGACGCCGTACAGCCTCGATCAACGGTCGCGACAACAGCAGTCAGCACTCCGCTTGAAAGTGATCCCATCGATGGGGCCAAATTCACCAGCTCAGATGAGAGCGTGTCAAAGCACCTGCAGCAGCACCAGCGCAGTGGGAACAGTTCGGGACAGATCCACCTGTCAATCAGAACCACGTCTCGAGCTATAAATGACCCTGGCAGCATCCAAGAACGGGGGGGGATACTGTATCATGCCAGGCGCTCCGGGGATATGAGTCGCTATGTGTTGAAGGGGGTTGATGGGAAGGCAGAGACGTTGTGTGACAGGGCGAAGTGTTTCATAGCCGCGCCCGGACGCTTGCACTTTGGCTGTAGATTGACAGGGAAAGAGGTCACCGGGTATTCCAGCGGTGCATCCAGCGCTGTCAGCTCCCTGGATGAGGCTGACAAGGAGGTACGCAACCTGACAGCCAAAGCCTTCAAGAGCCTGGCGTATCCCTACTTTGAATCCATCAATTTCAGCACCTCTAGCGAGTCTTCGGCATCAGAGCAAGGGAAAGGTATAAACAGTTGGGCTACGTTTGTTGACCTGAAATATGGCAATATGAACATGTCACGGGGTCTGGACCAAAGTGTGCTTTCCCATCAAAACTCTGCAGCCTCATTTGAAATAGCAAAGAATATAAAACATATAGGTTGTAAGGGCATCGCTCTGGCGAGCATCAAACCGCCCTCCAGCAAGATATTCACTCTAAATGGCGAACCCCACAGCACGTCGTCAGCAAAGCAAATCGAGCTGACCGGGGCATTCAGTCAGAGCCACAGCGGAGTGATTAGACTCACGGAGACTTTGAATTTCCGTTGCAATGTCAAATCAGGAATGTCTGGAGGAGAAAGGCTCTCTAAGTTTGCACAAAACGCTGCAGGATCACGTTCCACAGATGCGGTTACCGACAGGTTGCCAAGTGGCCAGAGGAGAGGGGCCAGCAAGTCGCCTTCTGAAACCATGGAAGACACGCACAAGAAAGCCGTATTCGCCTCGAGCCTGATTAAAAATGTAATTTCTAAGAAGATGCAGTTCGAGCAGGAGCGCAAGATGGAACGGGGGGAGATAAGCGAGCGGCATCCGACGCCCTCCCCGTACCTCGCGCGCCAGGAGAGCGAAGGCCACGGGGAGAAGGGAAGCAAGGAGCTGCGCAGACAGAGCTCCAAGTTTTCCGAGAGCAGCGCCGAGTACGCGATTGTGTACGTGGATGAATTGGGGGACCTCTTGGAAAGCGGCTCGTGTGATACCAGGAGCGACTCTCGGAGACAAGACGCGGCCGCTCCTGCGCCTCAAACTAATTTAGAACCGGCCAGTAGGGCTGGAATCGCAGCTAAAAAAGGCGAGTTGGAAGCGTCCAAAAGTACGCTCCTTCGCAGCCAAAATAGCGCATTCAGGTGCTGGAGGGACGAGGAGCTAGAGTTGCAAAAGGATCATAAAAACGATACAACTCCGGTGAGGTTGCACTCGGCTGACGGAAAAGAGGGCGAAGGAGAGCAGAAATCAGCGGGAAGCGGCAAACTGACGAAAATGTCACATTTGTTTGTGCCAAGTATCCAACTGCTATCTGGTGACGGAGAAGCCGGGCAGCAGCTGCAGAACAGAAATGATTCTCCATGGGACGGAGGAGAGATCCAAAGCTCTAACAACACGTTGTACGTCGCAGGCTCCGTGGTAACGTCTAAATCTCCTGAAATTAAAATTAATTTAAGGAGCGCCAGAGATAATAAAATGGATACTTTCGGCGTTTCTAAACTACGCGCTCCCAATATAGGCTGCAACGCCGCCAGCCTCATCAGGGCGGAGGATTTAAAATGCCAGGCGCTGGCTGCAGCTCTGAAAGGTGAGTCGTCAGATAAAGTGCCGCACTTCATGGTCAGAGACATTCGAGATAACAAAGGGAAGCTGCAGACGCCCATCCACCAAGTGAGAGACGTGCGTAAATTGGTGAAAAGTTCTTATCACTTTGTCTCTTTAGAAAAAAATAAATCCGACAGCCACTTGGAGCAAAAGAAGCAAATGTCCTATGGTAATTATAATTCTGTATCCCCTGTAATGATCAAATGTCAGTCTGTGAATACAAATAACGGGAAACATTCTGTAAATCTTACCGAGTTATCCAAACAGGAGCCGTTTGACGCAAACAGGTTGACTTCAGAGGGCGCTAAAAATGCACAGCCGCAAAGTGCAGCAGGGAGAGCACCCATGGGGGACACCAGTGATTCCTCAGTTGGAGTGATTGGGTTGACAATTGAAAGCCGAGCGTCTTCAACAAAGCAGGAAACATTATTGGATATCACAGATAAGAAACCTGAGTCAACAATCCCTAACCAGGGGGCTTTGGCAAAGCTGCAGGCTGCAGTGAAAACCATGGAGCAGCTGTATAAATTTGAAAAAAATGAATGGAAAAGGAAGACTGAGCCTCATCTCCTGACAGACAGCCATGTGCTCTCATTGATAGCTGGTGAGGAGCATGGAGGACTTGAGGATGACGGCCGGAGAGCATCAATGACAGCCAGAACAGACTCCCACCAAAACCATGACAATAATTCACCCCCACTGGGGGTGTCCCCTGGCACCGTCAGCCTGCTGCGGCGAGAGGACAAAGACCTCTCCATGTTCTTCCAGCAACCTGACAGCCACCGGGACAGGTTGGATGCAAGGTCAATTGAAGCTGTGGGTAAAAGAAACATGTCAAAACCCTCCACTCAAACCAATTTCAGCAACAAAAGCTTCCTCCCCAAGTCCCCGAAATTGCCTGTGTCCTTAAAAGTCAGCCGGACAAAGCCAAGTGGAAAGGAAGGAGCTAAATCAAAGGAGGTTGAGAGGTCCACACAAGAGCTCTTTAGTGTATCAGCTGACAACGAAAACTACCTAACCATTCCTGCAAAGACTAAAATCAGCAGCAACAGACAAGTCTCATCTGCTGAAAAAACAAAAGCTGTGTACAACCATACACACCCAAACACTCCTTCAGGACACTTGGGATCTGGCGCAAGGGGATTTGACAACACAGGCTCCAGCATTGTGATGGACACAGGCTTACCTGAGAATCCTCCTGCTACCATCTACCACTCTTTGCCATTGGGAATGTCCACCAATCAGCCGCAGATGTATTGCTTCTCTCCTGCAATCACCCCCGCTCCAACCGTGGACCCCTTCCAGGTCACGCAGAGAAAGATGCTCCTGGATCCCACTACTGGGAGCTACTACCTGGTGGACACTCCTGTGCAGCCGGCCACCAAGCGACTCTTTGACCCTGAAACCGGTCAGTATGTGGACGTGCCGATGCCACAACCTTCCATGACCCCGGTGCCCTTGCCGATCTCACCTTTGGCCCTCAGTCCAGGAGCATACGGACACACCTACATGATCTACCCCGGCTTCATGCCGACCCCGTCCGTGATCCCGGCCCGGACGCTGGTGCAGTCGCAGATGTCGATGCAGTCAGAAGCGGAGGGCGAAGGGAAAGCTGTGATACAGCAGGCCGACGGCAGGTACATGGAGAGTCCCTTCTACATGGCCACAGGAAAGTCTACCAAGCAGGCGGGCCACGGGGCTCATCAGCCGGCCGCCACAAACAGGCCGCTGCAGGCTTTTCCCAGGCAGCCGGTCATCAGCTTCACCTCACAGCAGGGGCCGCGGATCATTGCTCCGCCCTCATTTGACGGGACCACGATGAGCTTCGTGGTTGAGCACAGGTGAACAGCAGCTTACCTGGGCAGGTGAGTCGTTCTGAGTAGTTAGCTTTTGTATGTACAGAATGAGGGTTCAGTAGTCCTGAGTAATCCGTATGCTTTATTGGCTTGTATAGAGTAACTTTATGGTTTGTTTGCAACAATACAAAAGTTAAAAACTGTTTAAGTCAATTAAAAGCACAGATAACCATTTCTTGCAAAATATTCAAATTTGCTTTCATTTCATGGTGATAATTATGCATTATTTTTCTTCCATCAAATCTAGATATGATGCACAAGTGAACAAATCTCTGCACATGTTGTGTCGTTATTTTCTGATTTTGATATTACCGGTGGAGACACTACTAATGGGATAAAAATCAAAATAGTTGGTACGGTTTCTTCTCATTCTAGTGGATTGCATTTCTTTAAATTTAAAGTTACATTACATTACATTATTACTTGTCATTTAGCTGACGCTTTTATCTAAATCTTACAATAAGCAATACGTGCCCTTTAAGGATGCAATAAGGATGCAAACTCAAAAGAACAAGAAAGAAGTGCAATTTCATTAAATAAGCCGATTTACAACTTGCTATAGATAAGTCATTATAAGCACAAATCAAGTGCTACAATTTGTTAGTCTTTTAGTCGAGGTAGAGTCTGAAGAGGTGTGTCTTTAGTTTGCGGCGGAAGATGTGAAGGGTCTCTGCGGTCCTGATGTCATCAGAGATTCCACCATTTCAGAGCAAGGATGTCGAAGTGTTTTGCTCTCAGTGAGGGAGGAACAAGCAGTTTGACAGATGCAGAGCGGAATGTGTGTGGGTTGGGATGTTGGGTTTGACCATGTCCTGGATGTAGACTGGACCCGATCCATTCACAGCATGGTACATGAGTACCGATGTTATTAAGGCGGGAGATGACAAGAGCCTGAATCACTACCTGTGCAGCCTTCTGAGTGAGAAGGGGATGTATTCTCCAGATGTTGTAGAGCGTGTATCTACAGCACAGGTGTTGAACTGTCCGCCAGGGGGTCCAGTACGGCCTGCCGGATGACCTTGCTACTGGAGAATTCCAGAAAGACATAAATTGCATTTCTATAAAAGTAGCTGCTATTCCTAAAAAGTTCACTGGGGGTCGCACTGTGTCAGTGAGCGCATGCGTTAGACCAGGGGGACCGGGTCGTTCACCAACGCAGTGCTGGTAGATAAATAAATCACGTCAGGTGGTGCGGAACCACCCACTTGTCGCTGTAATGTCGTGAGTAAGGGAGAGTTGGCTGTCAAATGTCACACCGAGGTTCCTGGCAGTCAGTGGGCGGAAACACACAGTTGCCAAAGTTAACAGTCAGGTCCTGTGCAGGAAAATCTTTTCCCGGAAAGAGAAGTGGTTGAGATTTGTTGGGGTGGATTTTCAGATGGTGAGAGGACATCCACTGAGAGATGTCAGTCAGACAGGCGGAGATCCGTGCTGCCACCTGAGTGTCCGAGTGAGGGAAGGAGAGAATTAGTTGGGTGTCATCAGCATAGCTGTGGTAGGAAAAGCCATGTGAGCGAATGACAGAGCCTAGAGTGTTGGTGTAGAGAGAGAAGAGGAGGGGACCCAGAACGAAACCCTGAGGAATTTTAGTAGTAAGAGGACAAGGTTCTGACACAGATCCTCTCCAGGTTACCCGGTAGTATGAGAGAAGGTAGGATGAGAGAAGGGAAAGAGCAGAGTCTGAGACACCAAGTTCCTCAAGGGAGGAAATAAGGATCTGGTGGTTTACGGTGTCAAATGCAGCAGAAAGGACCAGCTGGATGAGGACAGAGGGGAGAGAGGCGTCTCTAACAGTGTTGAGTTGCTTTGAGACAGCAAGCAGAGCAGTCTCTGTGGAATGGCCTGCCTTGAAGCCTGACTGGTGAGGGTCAAGGAGGTTGTTACGGTGGAGATAGGAGGAGAGCGATGGTTAAAGATCGCACGTCCAAGATTTTTGGACGTTAAAAGGAAGAAGAAGGCCTGGTCTCAGATGAGTTGAGGGTGGGTTTCTTCAGGAGTGGGTTAACTCTTGCCTCCTTCAGAGAGTTGGGAAAACAGCCAGATAACAGTGTTAATGAGACAGTTGAGGAAAGTAAGAAGGTCAGTAGCGATAGATTGTAGAATATTGGATGGAGCGGGGTCAAGAGGACAGGTGGTTGGACGGGCAGAGGTTACTAAGGTGAGAACTTGGTTAGGAGACGGGGGGGGGGGGGGTGAAGGGGAAAACACCAGGGTGAAAGAGGTGAAGTCGGTGGGACACAAGCAATCAGCTATTTCTTTGGTAAAATAGTTGACAGAGACCCGGGGAAGAAGGGTGGAGTAGAACAGATCGAACAGAGGCCAGAGAGGAGGGAAAAAAACGATACAGAGTTAGTTAATTGGGTGGGTTAGTTAGAGAGAGTGGAAGAGAGTTGGAGATGAAGAAGTGGTCACGTAAAGAGACGTAAAGTGGAGTTACAGTGAGGTTAGAGGTAGAGCAGTTTCTGGTGAAGATGTAGTCAAGGTGACTACCGGCTTTGTAAGTAGGAGGAGAGGGACAGGGCAAAAGAAGAAAGTAGGAGTAAGAGGTCGGATGATCTCTCTCTCTGGATGTTAAAGTCACCCAGGAGGATGAGCAGAGGGCCATTTTCAGGGAAGTTGGACAGGGGGATGTCCAATTCTTCCAAGAAATGACCCAGAGAACTTGGCGGACGGTAAAGAACCACAGTGTTTAATTGTACAGGGTGAGTAACTGTGACAGCATGGAATTCGAAAGACAGTAGGGTGGATGGTGAAAGAGGGTAAAGAGAAAAGCTCCATTTGCGTGAAATGAATAAACCTGTGCAACCACCTCTGCCAGTGTGTCTGGGTGTGTGGCTGAAGGAGAAGGTAGAGGAGAGAGCAGCTGGAGTGGATGTGTGGTCCGGTGTGATCCAGGTCACAGCGACTGCTGCATAGCAAAGCCAGAGATGAAGTCTGCCTTGCAAGTAACGGGCTAGCAGTTCCAGAGGCCTCCTCTGACAAGGTGATGGAGATGTGTGGAGCGGGTGGGATAGGTAAGAGAGGAGAGGTTATGATAAAGAGCAGATCTAGCCCAAGGCCTGTAGTATCTGCAGGAAGAGATTCGAACAGGTACAGGCAAGGAGTAAACACATTATTAGTAATTAGGAGTCAAAAGCGCCGCACTCAGCCGCCCCCAAAGACTCCCTTGTCTTTGTCCTACTCGTCTTTGTGCGGCGAGTCTTCTCAGGCGCTGAGCTAACGCTTCATCCAAGCTCTAGTTCATTCTTGACCTCGGAAAGAGCAAAAACCCTTTCTTGTGAAACCCTTATTTTATATTTGTGTGTGTGTGTACATTTTTGTGCCACTTACGTGAGAGACATGAGCAGCCTAAGTATGTTTCCTGCTGTCAGGCCCCCCCTTCAGGCTGTCAGAGTGTCCGGTAAGCATCTAGTGTAATTCTGGCGTGACCTTAAAGCTGAAACAAAAACTGCTGATTCGTTTGTATTTGTAATTATAACTGTGTACTCCTAGTTGATCAAAGTTTCAATGCAAAAAGCTATGGATGCCCACATGTTCCAAATTACTAAACAATTAAGAGAAATACAAATTCATCCATCCATCCATCCATCCATTGTCAAACCGCTTATCCTGCACACAGGGTCGCGGGGGGGCTGGAGTCCATCCCAGCCAACTTCGGGCGATAGACAGGGTACACCCTGGATTGGTCGCCAGCCAATCGCAGGGCCACACAGAGACACACAACCATTCACACTCACATTCACACATCTACGGGCAATTTAAAGTCCCCAATTAACCTGATCCCCAGAGCATGTCTTTGGACTGTGGGAGGAAGCCGGAGAACCCGGAGAGAACCCACGCAGACACGGGGAGAACATGCAGACTCCACACAGAAAGGCCACTGGGTGGAATCGAACCCAGGACCTTCTTGCTGTGAGGCAACGGTGCTAACCACCACGCCACCGTGCCGCCCATACAAATTCATATATTTATTTAAATGTTCTTCATCCCAACTCAATTTTTATTTGACAACACCAGTTTTCCGCACTGCCAATAGTTTGAATATAGTGAGAAAAGAAAGCCCAACTAAAGAGTGTGTGACTCCATGCAAACGGACTTGCATGAGCACCTGAGAACCTCAGCAGGCATTCACCTTCACAAGCTGAATTCTGATACTGCAGCGGCAAAACGGAGGATCATGTTGATATAAGATTATTTCATGGGCGAGGTGTTTGAATTTGTATGTTAGCCATAGTGTGAGCAGGAGTTAAAGGTTCGGCGACAGGCATTCGTTATGCGTAAACTAGCTCTGCTTCAGCTGCTGCTAGACATCAACACACTGCACGGCAGGTCACAGTCAGGCGGCTTTTTATAGGACCAGTCATTTAAAGACAGGGAGAGTGAGAAGCCAGGTTCACATGGCCTCTGATCCGCAATTACATAAACACAACATGCAACATAGCAGCAGAACATTTGGTGTTCCCCTTCTCATCTGAAAAAGCCACATGCTGGAGAGTTCAGTTTTGTTTATGAAGAAAACTGATCGCTTGTAGTCGGATGGTCAACAGGCTGGAGAGAGAAATGCACATTGGAGTGGAAGGTAGTTTGAATCCTACAAACTGGATGTGTGTCATTCACCAGGTAACAACTGATGCTGCGGTGGCTTTGTGTGTGGAAAGGGACAAAAGTGCAATCAGCTGAATCAGCTAAATCAACTCTTACACTGATGACAGGAGCTACTAACCAAGGTACCACCTGCGCTCTAACTGATGTTGTGCAAAGCTAAATAACTAAATATATATACAAACAACAATGTTGGCAGTTATTAGTTTGTAGTTGTACATAAGTGCCCTCAATAATTTGGACCAAAATGAAGAGGACAGAAATAAAATCAACTCCACTGCGTTATGTAATTGAATTTTCCTATTTAAATTATTTATCACCTTCAATCAAATTAAATAAAATGTATTTTTATTACCCCAAAATGACAAAATATCCTCAGAGGGCTTTACAGTCTGTACCAGTGCGACATCCTCTGTTCTACAACTCTCTTATTAGCACAGGAAAAACTGCCCCCCAAAAACCTTTAATAGAGAGGAAAAATATGAAGAAACCTTAGGGAGAATGGCAGAGGAGGATCTCTCTGTTTGTTTCCCTTGACTTTTTGTTCCCATTTCTTCTTATTCAGTTGACAGTTTGTTGGGCAATTCTTTTGAGAAGGAGTACATCAAGCCTGCACATGAAGACCCTTTACAGGACAAAATACTACTATTGAGGGCTCCTCACATCTAACAATGAATTAAAGTGAGATACTTCATAAGCATCTCTGACAACATGGATCATTCGATTCTGGTCAACTCACAAAATAAATGGGTTGGGAGAGATTGTAAGATTGTGCACCATGGTTCTGTGAAGTTCCTTTTAGCTCATATAAATATATATATATATATATTCCTGTATATAAATATATATTTCCTAGTGGGGGTAATAACTGCATGGGAAAATGTGATCTACCGTCCTGTTGTGTACAATTTAAACATTTTACATGTGGAAACTCATGGAAATTTAATGCAAATAAGTAATAAGTAGATGGAAGCGCTTTGTACAAACTGTTTTGTTTCTTGGTTCCCAACAGGACTGAACTCTGAGTGGACGCTGCAGGGCCTTGGCTTTTGGTCTTGATGTGCTACTTTAGTCATTGGCTGGAGGCTATGAATCAAGGCCCTTTTGTAATGTGGCTAATTTTCCTGCAGTTTGACCTTTTCTAACTTGTATATGATGTTTTTAAATGTTTTTTATAACACCACACTGTAAATAATTGAAAAATAATCCATTTTTAGGCCTTTGCTCTGCTTCCAATCACCTCCTAAACTAATCTTTGATTTGACAGATTATGTTGTTTTTTGTGATTGTAATTTTACAACACAACTTTAATGATGACACAATTTAGCCTTACATCTAAATTAGCTTGAATTGTATCAGTACATCTTCAGTGTTTGATTGTATACAGCTTTAAAATGCAGAAAGGTCAGCATTTATGTTTTATTATGCACCCGGAAATATAATAAGTAAGTCAACCTTGCTGAATTCATTAACATAATAATATGAAGGCATGACGTGTGTGTTAAAACTATACCATGTACTATAGACATTCTGGAGATTGCTCATCATGCATTTGTCCTTCATACAGAGTGGAATGTTCAATTCAGTTTTTGCTCTGTTTGACATGTATTTCTGCGGGCATGCCTGTCACTGTTAGTAATTTAGTATTTTAGCACCAACTTACTGTTTGTAACTTAAATTGTATTTATAATTGTTCAGAATCTGGATCTGCTGGCCAGTCCATCCTTTCCTTTTGAATTAACTTTACTGTATTCATGCTAGGACACCAGGAAACATCCACTTGTGAGGTTGTAGTTTTTTCATACAAATCATTGCGTTGCCTTGTTTTGCGGTCTTTGCAGCACTTTGCAAGTCAGACCTTTTTATGTGCATTGTTTGTACATTAAATGTTTCTCTGTTGTGCAAGAGAGCAAACGTTGAAGTGTAAATACAATTTTTGCAGTTCTCTAGTAAGGGCAGATATTGTGATGCATCTCTGATTCAAAGCTTTGCACAAAGACCCTCAAACAGAGTGGGGCTTTGAAACAATGTACTTTATGAACTAACAGTATGTGGTGTGATGGCAAAAGAAAGTTTAGAAAAAGTTTGGAAGTTTAAGACTTTTGAAATGAGGAAACTTTTAATTTGGAATGAAATGATGAAGACACATCAGGGAAAGGTGATCTGAGATGAAGAAATGAAACCTGTTTTAAGTTTATTTAATTTAAGTTTTCCAAAGGAAAGTAGCGATGTCTGGAGGGGTGTTTCAACAGTTACTAATTTTAAATGAGTGAATATGTAATAAATGAAAACCTTTTGCTGACCTCTCGTTTGTGTTTTTTACCTGTTGAATGTTAATATGAGATCTAACCCATTGAGACACTTATAGAAAGACTTAATTTTGTTAGAGTCCCCATTATTGTTTGTTTTTATACATTTTAGATATAAGTTCATGTTTTACAAAGACATAGTTCTGGAATCCAGGCCCTAGTTTAGATACAATACATTTTTTCCGATGAGTTTATAAAAGTATAATTCGTATTGTGGAACTCAAGCATTGGACTTTCTCGTACAGTGATTGCTTTTGTTGGAGCAGCTGAAGAACAAGAATGTCTTCTGTCAAAACTGGACAGTTCCATTCTCTGTTCATCCTGATTCTCATCATATTCAAGGTTGGGCTGTCTCTTTTTCTTTTGTTCTTCTGGCATTTTATGAATCTAGTTTGAACCGGTTCTACTGGATCTGATGGAGAAGTCTCCTAAACTAAAGGATATCAGGGAACCCCCTCAACCCTTAACTATTCTTCAGGAAGATGTATTTACTCATGTGTAAAGGAGATAGTCATCTGGTCATATACCACTCCATGTTGGCCTTAAACGTCCCCATCAAAAATCATTCTTGACTTTCTAACAGAACTTTGACATAACACTCACAATTCAAGCACCAGTTAATCGCTTTTTTTGCATTTGCGGATACTTCGGTAAGAGCGAGTAAGGGGACCTTGAATTTGGACTGCTATCTATTGTTCTAAGAAAAACAAATGATTAAACGATTGTTACCAAAAGAATATCACCACCTCTGCAATTCTGCCCAGTTCTCTTTGAGCCTCTTTTACCTCATTGTTTTGCTTTTATCACTGTCACCAATCTGATGAAGCCAAACACTGTGGAGCATTTAGCAACTAAAGAGACAGGTGTTGTTCTGAGATGGATGGTTTGCACCAAACAGAAAGGACTGAGATTGTTGAACTTGCAGTCAGCAGGTGGACACACAATGAACGTTACTCTATGGCCTCCTAAACAGTTTTGGCTCTTAAACATGATGCTTCATCCTTCCACTTGCATCCCGTCCTAACCCAGTTTCGATATGCATCCCAGGCACTTTAGCGCTCATTGCAACACTATCACTGCTAAACCAGTTTTCACCCTTGCAAACATGCTGGTAAATTGTCAGTGCTGAATGGTAGGTCAACTGTGGCTGAAAACAACTTATTCAACTCCTCAGCAGTATGGATTGTACTTCATGCACAAACATATCACATCATGTCTGGCTCCATAAAGTGCTCATTCCATTTCCAAACCAGTTAAAGGTGAAAAATGAATAGTTCAGAATTTTTGAAAATTAACTTATTCCAAGAATTTAGGGAGGGGGCTATGTCTTCATAAACAGCAATTAATGAACCATTGTTTTTAAAACAACAAGTCCTATAGTTACTTTTGTTAAATTTGACCCATGTGAAATTCAAAACACATTTTAACATAGTTCCACATAATTGCACTTAAAATGGTTTGTCTGCACTTGAACGCAACATATTTTCCCCTGACCATGTCATCTATTATTCATGGTCAAAATTCATGCAATAAAGATCTTTGGATCTGACTAATGGGAACAAAAATATAGAAATAATAATAAAAGAAATACATAAAGGAGGTCTGTGATTGTCATTGTATATCTCCTTGTTTCTATAGCATTTGAATGCATCTGGCGCTCTTAAATTACGTCACACATGCGCCACCTTAACTACATGTGGAAGTGCGGGTTCAGACTTAGTTAAACAGCTTATTTAACGTTAGTTTTTCTTGTTTGCGTTTACTTTCTATAGTACTTATTTTCGTCTTTCGTAAAACTACAAAGAACGTTGCTAATAAATGTTGGCAGTTAGCTTTCTGCTAGGAGCAGTAGATAAGCTAACATCAACAGCTAACGTTAGTTGACACAGCAGACGTCTATCACTGCTCCGAAAAGATGGCTAATGACAGCGCGAAGAGTGAAGCCTCGGCCCAGCAGGAGGGAGATGATGACGGGGACAGGAGCAGTAACAAGACTCCCAGCGCTGACGGAGAAAACCAAACTATCTCCAAAAGGCAAATGAAGAAGCTTCTGAAGCAGCAGAAATGGGAGGACGAAAGGGAACTACGGAAGTAAGTCAGCTCATTTAACTGCCTGTGTCATCGATGACTTTAACGACACGTGGGTTCCATTGAATATCATGCTGTACTAACAGTTAACGTTAGGCCTTTTTGAGTGAAAGATGAAAGTGTTTGTCATTGACTGTGTCGCGATGTTGGGGTTATGAGTTGCTTTGTAGTAGAGATTTCCATCAACGTGCCTCCAATTCTCCTGAGGAATAAAGTCCATAATCAGTACAAAGGTGTGTAAGTGATTCATTCTGGCTCTGGTAGAAAACCTGCTAGTTCTGTACCTGTCTCGCCTAATCTGCCCTAATCTTACACAACACATATATGTAAGGCCTTTATGCTACATAAAGCACACTGATGCTTCATTTCCGTTGCTCCAGCAATCCGTTGTTCCAGTTCTGATATTAACTAAGATCTGAGAACATCTAAAATGTTGTAGGATACACAGCATGTACATAACAGCATCACCTTAACGGAAATGGTGGAACAAGGTGACTAGACATATTTTATACAAGTCCAGATACTGTAAAACAACGTATTACTTTTATTTACTAATGACATGACCAACTTACTAATAAAATGAACTTCAACGGCTTGAAACTACCTATTTTTAAGGCCCGTCTCATTGACCCATACACCCCATACAAATCATGCATACAGGGAGGGATATAAGTGCGTGTGTATGAGTGTAATAATATTCGAAATTTGAAATGGAAATGATCAAAATAAACTGTAAATTGATCCAACTAAGACATATTTATTATGTGGTGTCATATCACTATGTGTCCTCTGCTTTCTGTTGCAGGAAAAAACGAAAGGAGAGGAAGCAGCAGCGACGAGAAGGAGGAGAGGCCCAGAACCCCAGGAAACGTCTACGCAGAGAGTTGACGCCCAGTTCACTGAGGCTCGTGGTGGACTGCAGCTTCGACAACCTCATGCTCATTAAGGTAAAACCGATCCACTGTGGAGGGCAAAGTAACAATTTGTTTATTCAGATGGGAATTGAGGTTCAGATTCTCTTGGTAATCTGGGCATGTTTTCAGGATATCCGGAAGCTTCACAGACAGGTCCAGCGATGCTATGCTGAGAACAGACGAGCGTTGCATCCAGTGCAGGTTAGTGTCTGCTGATGAACATTATACCGTAGAGACGATCCTCTCTGATGTATAACTACTCTTCCCCGCCCGCCAAAGTTTTATCTGACAAGCTTGGGGGGACAGCTGAAACAGTGCTTGGACGAGAAGGACAAAGGATGGGTCAACTGGAAGGTAGTTATCGATTTACTTTGTGATGGACAGTTAAAAAGACAAATCGATCAGACTGGATGCCGCAGAACCAGATGGTATGTAGTCTTACTTAATTCCAAGTTGGCTGGTCATAAGGGCAAGACAATATAGATATTAAGGCCAGGGGCAAAAAGCAGTACTTTTCCCACTCCAACACTACACCTGTGGTATCAGTGACAAGAGCGGATACACAAAAAACTATTCCAACGCTGCCACAGCCTGTTCATCCTGCTGGCGTCTGGTACCAGATAAAGTAGTATCAGTCTTTTCCTCTGGTTGTGAGACTCCTTGTCCTGCACAAATACTATTGTTTTCTTTTTGTTTTAAATGTGTTTCTTTATATAGCTAAAAAGGCAACAATTTGTCCCTTCCCCAAAGTTAGTAACGTTGTTAAAATCACAAGTAAAACACTCCATAGAATCAAGAAGTTACCTTAGAAACCTCACAAACATTTGTTACAAAAATCTCTTTACTAGTCATATTGTAGTTTTCCATGCACACGTTTTGTAGTTTACTTTTTAGTCGTACTGAAACCTGTGGGAATCCTTGGGTGCACGCGTCAGGTTACATAAGGCCATTTACGCTGTTAAACAAGGTATAGATCTGTTCTACAGCAAAGAACCCTTAAACGACTGTTGTGATCTGGTGCTATATAGAAAATAAAAAGGTTACACTGCATTGTTTACGATTTTTCACTAGGTAGTATTGTATAACTGTGTAGATGTGCATGCTGCTGTTCTGTGCAGGACATCACCATCAAAACAGAACACTACAGTGAAGTTTTGGCGCAGGAGGACCTGGTGTACCTGACGTCAGACTCTCCCAATGTGCTGGAAGAGCTGGACCACAAAAAGGCCTATGTGATAGGAGGCCTGGTGGACCACAACCACCACAAGGTCCGTCTGGCTTCACGCCTTCAGCTCCCTGCTGGTTGCAGTTCCTGCTTGCTAATTGGAGCTGGTTGGTTTCCTGTCTGGGATTTGTTTGCAGGGGATCACGTTTGAGAGGGCGAAGGAGCTCGGGATTGATCACGCTCAGCTTCCTCTGAGCAATTTTGTCAAAATGAACAGTCGGAAGGTTCTTGCAGTTAACCACGGTAAGGACATTTATTCGTACCAGTAGCCAGTTTGAATTAGCTGGGATCGTGTCTAATAATAAATTAACAACTGACTATGCATGGCTGTCTGAAAGAATTCTGACCACCTTTATTATTATGTTGAAAAGGCAAAAGCTCACTCTTCAACTGGGACCTCAACCCCATCAAAGTGCCCTGTTTCACACAGCTGAAGCTATATGGAAGTCTCATCGATAGTCGCAGTACATTGTGTACCAGTGCCATCGTGTTCGGGCCCACACGGATTACATCCCCAGTTCATTTCTGCATATTAGCACCCACATTAATCAAATGAAAAACCTTGTATATCTTATCAATACTCATTCAGATGACACTACAAGCCTCTTGGCAGCACAGAGTAGGAGGAGTCAGATTTCACCTCTTATGTGATGAGAGTAAGAAGAGATGTCACAGGCGCTGGATTTGAATTGTCAAAAAAATTCCCTTGTAACGTCTGTTCTTAACCACTGTTCCTTGAACTCTGGAAAACGTCAAAGGGTTAAGGAAAGATGGTTAGGAGAATTCATGTAGATCTATGAAAAAAAAATTGCGGTGTTTAGGGAATCTGACTCCACTTTCACTAAGCTACGTAGGTCTGATGCAACGGGAGACACATATTAGTGATGTTGGTCTGCAGTGACAAAACTACAATATTTCCGACGATAGACTACAAAGACGCAGCTTTGATGCCTTGCTAAATGTCTTGTTAGAGCCGTGTCATGCAGACGACAAACAACCAGGTTCAAAGTATTACTTTATTAACAACATTGGTGTATATAAATGAGTTATGCTAACAGTTACTTACATGATCTGCGCTTCTCGGTCATGATCGTTATTTCTCGTAAACGGTCCACTGATATGTCACTATTCATATATTGCCGCTGCAGCAACAGATTGACTGATCTTGATTCTCACTGTTCTGTGCCGTTTGAAATTTTCCTGCGCCTGGATTGGGTTTAAAAGTGTGATCTGGTCTCTCGTCAGTGTTTGAGATCGTCCTGGCTTATATGGAGAAGAGCAGCTGGCGGGAGGCCTTCTTCACCGTCCTGCCTCAAAGGAAAGGAGCGGTGGCTGTCAGTCAGGACGGAACAACTATTCTAGGAAAAGAGGAAGATTCCGACTCTGACCCTGGCACACCAGACCAGACTGAGGAAACATAAAACAATGTTCATCCCAACGTGTGGATACATTAATGCTGAGGCGCTGTACCTGACAGGGATGTTTCTGTTTGGAAATGCTTTTTTTATTTTTTAGCAACCTATTTATGATTTTGTGCCTCAGGTAATGGGTCAAATTTGAGTTGAACAACTTATGGAAATGTACATAAGTTTTGGCAACAGACATTTCTACTTTGATTGTTAAGTTGTAAGTTCAGGTTCATTTTTTAGGACTGAAAGCCAAAGTCAGCACATGACTGTCCCAGGAATTCTCTGAATATTATGGTCTAGGAGTATAGTCATGCACCCTTTATGGCCCTGGTGCTGACCATGCTGCACTGGGTGATGCCAGCAGCATCAATTCTGACTATGAAACGTGAGGAGGCATAAGTATAGTAGAATAATCTGTATTCAGTTGACTGCAACTGCACCACAAGATTCCACTTATCCTGCACAGTGCTCCTTTAAGGCAACATCTACATCTGGAGGAGGTGCTTGAGTTTACGTGTAAAGTGCTGGTTTCAGTGTATATAGGGTCTGTATGTTGCATAATTTAATGAAAGGAATTAATTTAAATGAATAGTTACAACTTAAGAAATAAACCATGCGCTGTGCGGACATCAAAACATCAGTTGGGCCAATCTTACTGTTCATACAAGAAGAGCAACAGAGAACCAACTCCTCGATACAGTATTCTGAATACCTTGAACACTCACAGATATGGAGATATGTTTCACGTTAAAAACTGCTGTGGAATAAAATGAAGGGTCATTTGATGGAAGTGTTCAAATGTCAAGTCAAGTCAAGTCATTTTATTTTGTATAGCCCAGAATCGCAAATTACAAATTTGCCTCAGAGGGCTTTACAGTCTGTACACATACGACATCCTCTGCCCCGAAACCCACCATCGGCACAGGAAAAACTCCCCAAAAAATGAAAAAAAACCCTTACAAGAGGGAAAAAAAGGGAAGAAACCTTAGGGAGAACGTCAGAGGAGGGATCCCACTCCCGGGATGGACAGACTACAATGGATGCCATGTGTACAGAATGAACAATGTATAATACATGCAATTCCTATGACAGAAATGATTCAAGTAATTGTGAGTAGTAAGCCAGGCGCACAGCAGGACCACTGCAGAGGCAACCACCATCAGATAGAACCACCATCCACAGAATCCTGTGGGGAGGGAGAGCACAGAGATTTTAGGAGAGGGTAATGGCGGTTTATGAGTAAAGTAATATGATCAATATCTAAAATAATGATGATGATGATGATGATGATGGCAGCAGCAGGCGTCAGCATGGCCACGGTAGGTGTCAGGACCAGGGTCCCGAAGGAACCACGATCTATGGAGACCTGGTAGGGGCGAAAGCACAAAAAAAACTCCCGGAAAGAAGCTGAATTAGTCATGTGCATTAATAAAACTTGAATTATGGTAGAAAGAGAGCGTGAGAGAGGAGCTCGGTGTGTCCTAAGAAGTCCCCCGGCATTCTAAGCCTATAGCAGCTTAACTAGGGGCTGGTCCGGACTAACCTGAGCCAGCCCTAACTATAGGCAGAATCAAAGAGGAACGTTTTAAGTTTTACTTTAAAAGAGCTGACCGAATCTGCCCCCCGGACTGAAAGTGGAACCTGGTTCCACAAAAGAGGAGCTTGATAACTGAAGGCTCTGGCCCCCAGCCTACTTTTTAAGACCATAGGAACAACAAGTAACCCAGCATCTATGGAGCGCAGTTGCCTTGTAGGGCAATACGGTGTTACAAGCTCTTGAAGATACAACGGTGCCTCACCAGCAAGTGCCTTGTAGGTGAGGAGAAGTACCTTAAAATCTATTCTTGATTTAACAGGAAGCCAGTGCAGAGAAGTTAATACAGGAGTGATATGATCCCTTTTCTTAGTTCTTGTTAATACACGTGCTGCAGCATTCTGAATCAGCTGGAGAGGCTTAAGAGATTTATAAGAGCAGCCTGATAACAAAGAATTACAGTAGTCCAGTCTGGAAGTGACAAACGCATGAACTAATTTTTCTGCATCACTTTGAGACAGGAAGTTCCTGATTTTTGATATGTTACGTAGATGGAAATAGGCAGTCCTTGAAGTCTTCTTTATATGCGAGTTGAAGGTCATATCCTGGTCGAAGAGAACTCCCAGATTCCTGACGGTGCTGCTGGGTACCAGAGCAATTCCATCCATAAAAACTGTATCACGCGACAGCTGGCTTCGAAGGCGCTCTGGGCCTATCAGGATAACTTCCGTTTTTTCTGAGTTTAGCATCAGGAAGTTGCCGGTCATCCAAGTTTTGATGTCTCCAAGACATTCTTGGAGTCTAACTAACTGGTCCGTCTCTTCTGGCTTGATCGACAGATACAGTTGAGTATCGTCTGCATAACAATGGAAGTTTATGCGGTGTTTCCTGATAAGATCGCCCAAAGGAAGCATATAGAGGGTAAATAAAATCGGTCCAAGTACAGAACCTTGTGGGACTCCGTGACCAACATTGGTGGTCTTTGAGGATTCACCGTTTACAAGCACAAACTGGGATCGGTCCGATAGGTAGGATTTAAACCAGCTGAGTGCAGTTCCTTTGATACCAATTAAATGTTCTAGTCTCTGCAACAGGATACAATGGTCTATGGTATCAAATGCGGCACTAAGGTCCAGCAAGACAAGAAAAGAGATGAGTCCTTGGTCCGATGCAAGTAGAAGATCATTCGTAATTTTCACCAGTGCGGTTTCTGTACTGTGATGCACTCGGAATCCTGACTGGAAATCCTCGAACAAAGCATTGTTTTGTAGAAAGTCACATAATTGATTTGCGACGGATTTCTCAAGGATCTTAGAGAGTGCAGTGCCACAGCTTTGGTGTTGACACAACTTATCTGGTGGAACCACGATGACCAAAGAACAAAGCAGCATTAGAACAATAAGCTTTCATTTTATTTAACACTTTTCTAAATGCCCAAAGACACTTTACAAGTGGCAAAGAGACGGGAAAAAAATAAATAATAATTTTAGTAAAAGAACTGTGTGGGGTGTAGGCAATAGACAGGTGGTGAGAGATCATGAGGTCAATGCTGGTTAGAGTGCCGATGGCAATGCCGGAAGTGCAGACCCGGTTAAGTGTGTGTACTTTTCTTATGAGTGGGAAAGTCAATGTTGAAGTAGGTGTCCAGGAGTTCTGCACAGGTTGTGGAATCCGATGAGTCGACCTGTATGTTAAAAGTCCCTGAGTAGCAAAACGGATGGAGAGATTGAGACACATATTTTTCTGTCATGGCCCCCTTTAAGGATATAGGGACATTGTAAGACCCCCACCTGCATCTGGCAGAAACAAAAAATGTAAATAATTAAATTATAATTGGACTGTCAATAGGTGTAAAAATTGAACCAATCTCACATTTTGAAATTCATTAATCACGATTGTTACGCCCTCCTCTAAAGAGGATACCGTAACTCGCCGTCACACGTGAGCTGGCCAAAAGGTGGGTGAGGTGAAAAAATTGTGTGGGCGCACAAGCAGGACCAACAAAACAAAGTACCGTTTAAACAAGGTTTATTTCACCTATAATACGGTAGTGGGGGAAAAGGGGCTGAGCGGAACCAAAGCAAAGAAATTAACCAATGAAAAAGACCCCTAACCTATCTAGTCTAAACACCATCTGCTAAACTATGATAAATACAGGGGGTGGTCCGCCCAGGTCTTACCTAGTGTATAGAGACAGAGGTTTATCTATGGGCAGTATGTAAACCCCAGGGTCGCTTACCTACACACACTTCAAGTTGTCCCTTTTCCCAGGGACAACTGAAGAAACAAAAAATGAATAGTACAAACAACGTGATAACCACAGACAGAATAACAACAATAACTTAACCTTCACCAATTCAAATGACCAAATACATGTGTAAACAAAACAAAAGAACTTGAACCCAGCTCCGCTCAAAACAATAGTTCCTTCAAAAAGTTATTTTTCACAACAGTCCTTCCGCTCTCTCCACCAGGTCTGCCCCCCCCCCGTCTCGCCCTCCCGACCTCCTTTTCAGCCATGGCATCCTGCAGTTGATTGGCTGTGGGTGTGGGTGATTAGTGGCTGCAGGTGGGAGCGGGCAGTGGAGATTACTGCATGGTGGGTGTGTCAGAACACCTGTGGGAACACAAATCAAAACACACACACCCCCTCCCCCAAGCAGGCCGAGGCACGTAACAACGATTAAAGTGTGTATTTTAGACTAATTCTTAATTGCATTTTAATCAAACCTACATATAGAAGAATTTCACTGGGTGAAAAGTGTTGATAGTGACTCTTCCTGCTGTCCTTGTGCAGTTTGCTGTGCTCTGAATCTCCCACCATAGCACTCTGTCTGTCAGCAGAGGGACTCAACTATTCTTTCAACCATAGATGGATGCTGCTGAGCCTTTGTTATGGCGGTGCAGTTGTGTCTTTCATTAGTATCTGGCATTTTTGACATTTGATCATTTTACCATAACATTTTTTATATTGGCCAAAGTTAGACAGTCTTGTGTATCATGATTTTGAGCATGCGAGTGTATTTGTATTTTCTCATTTGCTGATGCAAAGCTACATAGAACATATACTCTGACAAAGGAACTAGACAGTGTTGTATAAGTATAGAAGTATGCAGCTTTCCATTTCTAACGCAAATCCAGAAATTAAAGATTTTATAGTTATGTTTATTAAAATAATTTATTACAGCCATATTTTTAGTACATTGTGCAAATTAAGTCACATAAGCTGAAAGAAGAAGAAAGCATTTTAAAATAGTTTAAAATACTTCCTTAATGCTAGACTGTGAGGTTCCACTTCTTTAATTTTCAGATGATTTTCAGATTTCTTCTCTTGAGCCTAGTGAGGGATCAAAATTCTCACATTGAGAAAGTTTTAACAAAAAGGATTGTTGAAAAAACTATTATAATCATAACTTTTTCTTAGCCTCTTTTGCATGAAGTCAATGATAGTAGCCATCAGTTCATGAAAAAAAGCATACATTTGTTTTACAGCTAATTAAAATTGTCACTTGTCCAGCTTTTCCATCCAACCAATTGACAGCGCATACAGGTATGAACGAGGTGACCATGTTTGGTCACAAATACTTTTGATGAAAGGGAGAATTAATTAATTGGTTCATTAAAATCAGGGCGGCACGGTGGCGTGGTGGTTAGCACTGTTGCCTCACAGCAAGAAGGTCCTGGGTTCGATTCCGCCCAGTGGCCTTTCTGTGTGGAGTCTGCGTGGGTTCTCTCCGGGTTCTCCGGCTTCCTCCCACAGTCCAAAGACATGCTCTGGGGATCAGGTCATTGGGACTTAAATTGCCCGTAGATGTGTGAATGGTTGTGTGTCTCTGTGTAGCCCTGCGATTGGCTGGCGACCAATCCAGGATGTACCCTGTCTATCGCCCGAAGTTGGCTGGGATGGACTCCAGCCCCCCTGCGACCCTGTGTGCAAAATAGTTGTATCTAATAATCACTAGACTTGAGCATTGTTCAACTTGCCCAACACAGGTTTAGTTCTGTGAAACAGCATTCTATTGCAATTTTTTAATGGGTTTGAATAAAAAGAAATGCTCAGCGTGACTTAGCATAAATAAATGCTAAATGCTGTAGGTTTTTATCCTAAAATTGATCCAATTTATTTTAATGCTTTGGAAGAAACTACTTTATTTTCATATATATTTTCAGAGTGGGATAAGATTGATACCAAGCTACGGCCAGAAGCGCAGTTAACCTAGTTTAGCACTAAGACTGTAAGCAGGGGAATAG